TTAGAATGACATCACAAGATATAAAATGAGATGAAGGAAATGGACAATTTTCAGGAGTAAGTCATGCCAAGGAATGAATGGCTGGTGATTAGTATGGGCATCGTCCTCAGGCGAAAATGCTAGTATATGCAAAGTATGTCCCCCTCGAGGCCCATATTCACTCAGCTGCTGAAGATATTTATTAAACTGACCGTGTTCTGGAGATTGCAGTTACTTAACAGAAATAATATTCCAGTCTAAAAGAATTCTGGTTCATTTTATGTGGCGATATATGAAGGATTTCAATGGCATTGACTACTAATGTTAGAAGTAGCATTCCAGAAATAAGAAGTCCTCACTTTAGAATTATTATATAATAGGCAAGAGAGTCTCTGGAGTCAAAGATACACTGCTGCTTCCTCCTTTTCCAGTGCCGCTCTGGCGTTCCTGAGGACGGGGATGTTTGGCTGCACGGGGCAGTCCAGGATTCAGAGGCTAGAGTCATTGCACGCACCCCCTTCACTCCACTAACTCTATGTTCTGCTCCCTGGCAGCTGTGTTTGCCATTTACAGTGAGTGCAGATGGGGAAATTGCAGAGAACTGGCAGCTTTATTGCCGTACATAATCAGCATCTGGGCCGTGTGTTACAGATACAGTCAGTCCAGTCTCGTACTTCACCGGTGCTGTGAGAGCTTCTTTGAGTTTCTAAGACACTTTCCAAATGAGAGAAGATGCTATACTTTAACCATGTTGATCGTGGAAATTGCAACCGTATATATACTTTTGCAGCCTCCATGTGAATGACGTATGTGTATATGTGTTTAATGTGTAGTATATGCAATTCTGCACTGCTCGTTTGTTTTAAAACATATTTTGGAACCATGTATATTTATTTCATACTGGAGATCAAATCGAATCAGATTTATTCATTTATATGATCTCTGTGTATGTGTATGACTAGATATTTTATTATATAATGCCAGATATTATATGCATGATTATATATACACACATATATTACCATATTTTTCCATTTTTGTGCAAAAAACATACCATATATTTTTTCTACATCTCATAATTTTTACCAAAACATTTACAGCAGGTTTTATTTTCCTCATTTTTCATAAAGAGAAACCGAGATACAGAGAAGCAAAGTAACTTTATGAGGCTCTGAAAACAAATCAGTAGCAAAACCAGAATTTAATCCAATTCTATATAAGTGTTTAATCACTAAGTTATAAATTTTTGTTTTTATGTATACACACATACAAAATATTAATACTAATATCTCTTGAGGGCTGCTTTGGCTTTGGTGTGTAGATGTTATTTTGTTTGTTTTGTTAAAATACTTTAATTTGAAAAACACTGAGAATAATGCTGAGAATTGAACACTAGTGAGCTGAAAGTCTCATTAAGATAATTTAATCTTGGCCCTGGCTGGTGTAGCTCAGTGGATTGAGTGCGGGCTGCGAACCAAAGTGTCTCAGGTTCAATTCCCAGTCAGGGCACACGCCTGGGTTGCAGGTCACGGCCCCCGGCAACCGCACATTGATGTTTCTCTCTCTCTCTCTTTCTCCCTCCCTTCCCTCTCTAAAAATAAAAATAAATAAAATCTTAAAAAAAATAAAGTGGTTGGAGTTAGAATTAAAAAAATCTCTCTTTATCTTTAAAAAAATAATTTAATCTTATAAATAGCTTCAAGACTAGTCAGAGTTTTCCCATTGCCCAACTACACTGCATTATATGCTCTGCTGATGTAGGATGTGATTGTTTTCTTTTTCCTCTAATCTGAAATAGGCACCAGAAAGCGATATTGGTTTCAGCTCATTGTTTAGGAACTCAGGAAGTGTGAAGACATGTTTGATTTATTTTTAAAAATCAGTAATTAATGAATAAGAGAAAAAATATTGGGGGGGTAAGGAGGAAAGGTCTTTACTGATTAAACATACTTTGAAATTTTTGGATTGGAGCAGTTAGAAAACTGTCTCCATTTTCTTATCTCATTGAACGTCTAACTAAAATTCACTTATGGTTTTGATGAAGGAGTGACAGCAAATGGCTTTTACATAAACCAGATAGACGGATGAATGGATAGATACATGGGTGAATGGATATATATATCGATGGATGGATGGATGGATGGATGGATGGATGGACAGACAGATAGACCGATAGATAGGATGATTGATAGATGACATCTAGATGGATATTGATACACACACATATACTCAGTGATGAAATGTTTTAGAAATTCTTCACATACATTCTGTGGAGTAAAAAGAAAAAGATAAGTTTCTGGCTACTTTTATATTTTAAAAAAGGCTTTCTTATAGTGTGTGGCTTATAGAATTTTCTCTCTCCCTTATTCAGTTTGCTAAATTTATTTTTACTCTGAAATTCAAAATACTGAATTTTCTTTCTATGAAGGACTAGCATTAGGAAGTCTCTTAATTATGGTGGATTTTATCCATAGCATGAAAATGTATTTTAGCTATTACACTATCTGCTTTTGTAACTGTGAATGTTTTAATTAGATTCTTCATGGAGCAATGGATTCCTATTTATACTCTATAAAAGTCAGTAGATTCTATGCTATTAAAATAGAAGATGAGAAGAGCAAAGATGGAAAATGTATATTTCATTTGCTTTTTTTAAACCTTCACCTGAAAACTCTTATTTCTCTTTATTTACTTATAATCTGGTTTAAATATTTTTTCCTCTGTGTCATAGGTGTAAGGATACCATCTAAGATGTGTGTGGTTTGTAGTTTATAAAATGTATTCTGGCTTTCTTATTTTCAAGGACCTGAAATTTATGAAAAGCAATTACACAAACTAGTTCTGCTTTACTGTTAAAAGAAATCTGCTAGTGACTAAGAATCTTTACATATTTTGTAGATAAACTTGCATGTGTCTTTAACGTGAGCAAAATCATTTCTGTGTTTTAGAGGAGGAGAATTATGACGAACAGTGCAGGTAATAAGGACTGGATTTTACCTTTTTTGTAAGAGAGGATGGGCCAGAAACTTGAGGAATAGCTCAATTTAGGGGGTTAGAAAGCAAAGTCATACATTTAGAAAAAGAAAAGTAGGAGTGAGAATCAAGGGAATATAGTATCCCATCCAAGGAAAAAAGAACTGTTGGCAACACCAAACACTGCGTGCGGTTCCAGAGCCAAGGCCAAGGCCACAGAGGGAGCCCTCTACGTTCAGAGATAAGGAGGTCAGAGGCGAACCCCTGAGACTGTTGAGGAAAATGTGGTCCTGTGAAAGGGCTTGGAATCGGAAAAGACCGATACTTAAGCAATTTGACTTAACCTCCCGGGGATATTTTGTTTGTTTTGATTTGATGTTCATTAATCAATAACATTTAAAGCACTATGAACACTCAATAAAAATGAACCAATGTATTTGGCACACATAATCAATTATATATATATATATATATATATTCTCCTATTCATCCATAAATACATAAATAGATATACTATTTATTTATATGTATGTAATTTTTTAAAATCCAGGCAGGAAAGTGGAGCTCAGGCCAAGTATTTCAGTAGAAGGATTCACTATGAGGAGTGAATGAAACAGTGGTAGAATGTGACGTGGAAGTCAGAAAGCTGTGCCCACCCCTGGGGCTGTAATGACCTAAGAAGAACGTGATGTTGCACTAAGTCAGGAGGTGGCCGCAGCCAGAGCTGAAATGAGTGAGGGAGGAGACCATTGCTGAGAACCTCTCCCAAGGGGAGAATATCCAATCTTCTCCCCTCTTCCCACCTGCAGGCTCCCACCAGTGCTTCCCACCAGTGCCTCCCACTGGCTGAGTTTCACAAAAACCAGTAGGGAAGTGTGCTGGGGGCTCCTGGTTCCCAGAAGTCAGCTCTCTGGGACACAGAGCAGAGTAGAAGAGAGGAAGGGGCTAGGAAATGTTTATTAGATGTTTATTTGGATAGGCATGAGGCTGAGGGGCAACATGTTTTGATGGACTAACATGTTTACCAAAACACTTAATGAAATCTGTTTCTTTGTTTCTTTCATAACTAAGTGGGTAACTCGTGTCCTTGTCTGGGAGCAGAACCATACAGTAGAAAATATGAGAGTTATTTTCAACTCTCTGGTTTTAACGCATCATAAAAATCCTGCAGCTGTGCTCGGATGCACTTTGCTGCGGTGGTGTTCACGTGAAATGTGCACGTGGAGAATCAGTGGAGTCCAGACCGTCTCACCGAAAATCCCTGTAGCACTTACAGATTCAGAGTTGAAGATGTTGCTTCATAGGAAGCTTCAGAAGTAATTGTCTGCGTTTAACCATTATTTTTGTTCAACCTATAATACACTTTCTGTAGAGGGCACAGGAAGTTTATAAGATTTAATATTCAGCCATAATCTCCTTTGTGGAAGAGTCATAATGATCTCTGAAACATGTTACATATCTAGGCAGTGTTACTGTACATTTCTCTGAACTGAAATTGAGGTTATTAAAATGTGCCCGCAAATTTGTTTCTCACAGGTGCTTTCTCTATTGTACAAAGTGGTCTTTTATTAATTGTTCACACTATTAACAGATGTCCTCGTTTTGAACCCCCCACCCCCGCCTTCAGCACATTGCAGTCCGTGTCCATGGGCTGTGTGTGTGTGCATGTATGTTCTTTGGGTGATCTCTTCAGTTTCCCCTCCCCACTCTGGGATCTCTCAGCCTGCTCCATGCCTCTGATCCTGTTTTGTTTTGTCACTTAATTGTGTTCATTAGATTCCACATAGAAGTGATATCATATTTAATGGACATGGAATGCCTAAAACCTGGGATTTTTTTTAATTGTTTTTTATCATCGCCTTGTTTTTATCCCTAATCATGCTCCACATTTAAGGCACAGAACAATTGGCTTTAGTGGGTGTTTTCGAGAAAAATAAATACTGCTCATGAACTGCATCAACCTTTCTTCTCAACATGAATCCTGGGCTTGCAGTAGACATCTCTGAGAGCTCATGTTTCCATCTAAAAGATGAATTTTTTTATTGCAGACGTCTGGAACAGAACTCAATCAAGGTCATCCCTCCTGGAGCTTTCTCGCCATATAAAAAGCTCAGAAGAATGTGAGTGAATAATATTCTGGAATATATGTAAATTTTTAAAATTGTATGCGTCATGATCCTGCAAAGACACCCATTTAAGTATGAATATTTAGGTATTTGACAGCTTAAATATTAAGTAATATGACTATTTGATTGCTGGTTCTATAATGTTGTAATATTAATAGATAAACAATGCAATATGTTAAAGGTTCTCTGCAGTTTAACGTATGGATTCAGACCAGTCTGAATGCGTGTGTTTGAATATAGTACGTAGTCAAACCTTAGATGTTCTATTTTCTTTTTTGTGGTGGTGGTGGTTCAATTACAGTTGTCCCCATTTCCCTCCCATTACTCTCCTCCACCCCCAACCCCCCACATTCATTCCCACCGCCCTTATAGGTGAGATCATTGAATAACTTAAGAAATGAGTCAATAGTTGGTTTAAAGGACAGTTTTATTTTAATTTAGGATACTTCAGATATTTTATGTTACAGATTTTGCACATATATTGACAGGTGCAACATCGACCCGCAAAGGCAGTGAATAGCTTTCTCCTGCGGTAAATCCCACTGGCGTTCTATTTCATTTAACCCAACCCTCTTTCTGATCTTAGCGACCTGAGCAACAATCAGATCTCCGAACTGGCACCGGATGCTTTCCAAGGGCTGCGCTCCCTGAACTCACTGTGAGTATCCCCAGGGCCCTGAAGGAGGGCGCAGTGCATGACCAGCTGTGGCTCTGTGTTCTGATTTGGATTTTTACAATACGCTTCTTGAAGTTTTTGTATCATCAATTACTGATAACATTAGCTATTAATAATCATTAATGAACTCCATTGGTTTCCTTGAGGAATGCTCCCTGTCCCTAAAATCAGCCAGTGTTAAGGATATACATTTTAGGACTTGATAATTTTGCTGTTCAGAGAGCAAGAGTAAGAGTCCCCTTTTTGGATCATGTTTTCTGTTTCTGAAATAAAAGGGAAATGTTTATTTGGGAATGTTCTGGTCAATGTTGTATTTATCATTCTTAAGCCGACAGCCACCATCTCTGGGGGCAATATCAGCCCCCTTTAGAAGGAAGCTGGGGGGGGGGGTCATCTTGCAGGGAACAATGGAAGATGACCCCTGAGAGGCCCCCTCAACTCCCCGCTTTATCCTCTTAAGTCTCCCCATAAAGAGCCAGCTTTCATCTCCCACAGGACGAAGATAAGAAAGCTTTACAGCTTTTTATGTCAAAGGGCGTTCAGGGAGATAGCTATGTAAAGTGGTTCTAAAATAAATGGATAAACACTGTCATTCCGTCTTGTAAAGACTTTCAGAAGTCCATCAAGTAAAGTGACCTTTATTTCAGATTTTAACTTGAAAGCTTGAAAGTTTGAAAGCCGGCACGTATTGTCCAAGAATTGATGCTTAGGGGAGGGTTCCTATTGATGTAAACTACTGTGGAGCTCTTCTGAACTTCAGAAGTCCTGGGTACCCGTGAGCATTCCAGGGCAACCCATGTGCAAGAGGCAGATAAACACCCGGAGTTTATGTAACAATTTACCCTTGCTCGTACCAACGGGAAAACGAGACAGATGCACGCATCTGGGCTCAGGGGTATTCAGGTTGCTGGTCTGGTCTGCTCAGAAAAATACAGTTTTCTTTGAAGAAAGAGAATTAAAAACTATCACTTCAGCAGTATCTGCTTAGGTTCATTGTTGCTTTTTTGTGTTTTCTTGTTTGTTTCGGGGTTTGTTGTTTGTTGTTTGTTTGTTTTACTACAGGAAGCCCAAGGTTAGGGGTACAACTGTTGGCAGAAAATGTGAAGTCTAGTCATGTATTGTACTCACAGTGGGCCGTCAGACTCTAAAATAACAGTGTAATGTGAGACTGCGTTAAATCGCCCACACTGTCCATGAACCACCATGTATACAGTGGACAATAATGCTATCCAAAGTAAAGATAGACAACACCCCCCAGCCATGTAAAAGGACAGAGCAACATACCAGTTCCTGCTCCTTCGAGTGTCTGTCCCTCCAAAGTAATGAACGAATGTCAAAAGAGAGAGACCAGGTTGGAGAATTCTTACTAAGTTGCCTGTGCTTCCGTTGCCCTGTCTCTAAAGTGGGGATAAGATTACTCCCCTGCCGGCTGTGTTAAAGCCGAGAAGAAATCAAGAGATAACAGATACGGCCTTGGTGGATTCTTCTGGTACTTACCAATTTTTATATTTCTGGATTTTAATTAACCCAGAGAATTCTTATGCCCTAAATCCTCAACATAAATTTTTGCTCTTTTCCCATTTTTATTAGCCCCTTGCAAACGAGTGTAGTTCATTTTTTTCTATTTACATCTCTTCTCTAACTTGCTCCCCAATTCCACAGAGACCTGTAGTGAAAGACTGTGGTATTTTTGATTCTGATGGCTGTGTTTACACTTCCTGCAGTGTCTTCTTGGACTCTCGTTAACTCTCCTGCTCAGTATCTGGCATTTTACTACGGGTTCCCAATGAAAATGAAAATGTACCAACCTATACTGTCTTTAAACTTGCTTACTGTGTTAATTCTCAGATAGACATAATTTTTGGGGGGAGGATATACATAATTTTTTATTTATAAGTATAGCTCTCTACCATATATTTAGATAATAAAGCCTGCCCTCAACACTTTTTACATGATAGCCATCTTAATAGGATTCTATTTCAGATACTTTTGTCTTTAGTAGGAGTTCTGGCTTCCCACAGGGCAGGAGAATTCAAAGCCTGGCCCCCAGTGGGACTGTGCCCTGCCATCCTGGGCAGTGCCCTACTGTCCTAGAGTTGAAACTCACAACAGTGGAACTGGGTGTAGAATTCCCAGCCTGCCTTCTACAGCGAGAAAGGCGGCCTTACGATTTCACTGTTGTTCCGAAAGACTGTAAACAGCTCCCCATCAGCTTAGTTGAACACTGTGTGTAGAATGCTGAATGTAAGTCACGTCTGTCACCCACTTCTCATCCCTGGGCTTTGGATTTTGACACTTTAACTTCTTTTTCGTTACTATCACGTTGATCTTACTGCATGTAAGAAAAAGGTGCCTAGCCCTGGGATTGCTATACCTTTTTTTAGAGAGATCTCATTCCCATCCTATTTAGTGTTTCTGTATTACAATATTTTCATGATTTTTGATCCATACACCCAGTGTCGTCTACACAGGTGGATTTTCTTTGTCCTTGGGTGATCTTCTTTTTCTCCCATGTACTGAATGGTCTCATTTACAGTAAACATCTATTTTTTAAACCTGATCTTACAGAAAACAATGATTTGCTGGAAAAAATAGTTTTGCAATGCAAATGTGACACACCTCCTAGCTAGTTTTCCTTTCCTGCTGAGCCTACCTTTGAAGCAAAAGTCTCAAATAAACAACCTACCAAATTATTTTCCCCTAAATTCTTATATAGGTTTCCCACTATTTATATGCATTATATTTCCTTTTTACTTCTCAGTGGGATCCAAATATAAAACTCAGTATTCAAAATAGTTCTTTTGGGTTGCTCTTTGAAGCCATACCCTACTTATATCAGTGCCTGAGACACAAAAATGATACACATTAAAAAAATAGCAGTTGGGTTCAGTGTAGTTGGGCATTGAACTTAGAACCTGGCTATGTTCCAGCACACAGTGAGTGTGCAGTATCTGTTGCTGAATGACAGTGAGTTGACTCTCCTGAACCAATACTGTGGTAAGCTCATTTGTGTACCTAAAGCCTCCTATTTTCTTACTCTTGACCTTGAAACACATTAATTCTTGCTTTATCCTTTCTAAGTTCTTTTACTTTCTTGACCCTGACATCACAGATTTCTCCTTTTTCTTATTTGATTTTTAAAATTGTTTCTTCAGTAATTGATTTACCTTTTAAAAATCTATATTCTACAGAAATGAATTTCTGTTTTATACTATATACCTGTACCACAGGGATCTATACAAATTTAAAGTATGTTTACACAATGTAGCACCCAGGTTTATTTATTTCCTTGAGAATTTTCTTCAATTTTGTAATATATCCAACCTCTCACTGACATCTTAAAAGGGAAGTTTTCCCCTCTATCTTATTTATCTCTCGTATATTGTTATTTGCCTCCTTTCAACCAAAAGTTGTGTACTGCTGCCCACCACACATATTAATTATTTAGACTCTCGTTTCAATTTTTCTTATGGATGTATTATCACATCCACTTACTTATTTTTGAAAATATTTATTCTTATTTTTTAAAGTAATATATGTTCATTGGAGAGAATGTAAAAAAACACAAGAAAAAATATATTCAAATTCAAATACACTCTGAATGTCAAATCATTTGCCATTTTAAGATTTTCCACTTTTGGGCAGTGGGGGTGTGTATATGTATACATGTACACACACACACGTATATACGTACAAAATTAAAATTATGTTGTAATTTAGTTCTTTATATTATGCTTTGAAAAATTTAATTGAATTTTTGGGTTGACATTGGTAATAAAATAATATGGGTTTGAAATGCACAGTTCTCTGATACATCACCTGCATGTTGCATTGTGCCATTACACGCAAAGTCAAATCTCCTTTCATCTCCATGCACCTGATCCCCTTTACTCTTTACTGTCTACCCCAGCCCCTTTCCCTCTAGTAACCACCATACTGTTAATGTGTCTATGCGTTGTTGTTTGTTTTTCTTGTTTGTCCATTTGTTATCTTCAGTTTTTATGCCACATATGAGTGAACTCATATGAATCTCGACAATTTCTGATTTAGTTCACCTAGCATGATATTCTCAAGACCCATCCATGTTTTCACAAATGGCGATATTTCATCTTTTTGTTCGGCTGAGTAGTATTCCTTGTATAAAGGTACCACCTCTTCTTTATCCAATCATCTCTCAAAGGACACTCTAGTTGTTTCCATGTCTTGGCCACTGTGGATAATGCTGCAATGAACATAGGAGTGCATATATCTTTGCAGATAAATATTTTCAAATTTTTCTAGTAGATATCCAGGAAAGGGATTGCTGGATCATATGGTAACGCTATTCTTCATTTTTTGAGGAGCCGCCACACTGATTTCCTTAGGGGCTGTACCAGTGTACATTCCCACAAGCAGTGAATGAGGGTTCCCTTTTCTCCACAAACTCTCCAACACTTGCTATTATCTGTCTTGTTGATAATAGGCATTTTACCAGGTGTAAGGTGGTACCTCAGTATAGCTTTGAGTTGCATTTCCCTAATAGCTAGTGAAATTGAGCATATTTTCATGTGTCTATTGGCCATTTATATGTCTTCTTGACAGAAGTGTCAGCCATTTTTAATTGGATTTCTTTTTGTTATTGTTGAGTTGTATGAGTTCTTTGTATATTTTGGACTTGAACCCCTTATCAGAAATTTTGTGTCCAAATATCTTTTCCCATTCAGTTGTCTTTTTGTTTTGTTGATTTTTTTTATTGTGCAGAAACTTTTAAGTTTGATATAGTCTCATTCATTTATTTTTGCTTTTACTTCCCTTACCTTTAAGGTCAAATTCATAAAATTGTCTCTAACACCAAGTCCATGAGTTTAGTATCTATGTTTTCTTCTGTGTAATTCATTCTTTCACATTGTATGTTTAGGTCTTTGATCTATTTTGAGTTAATTTTTTTGTATGGTGACAAATAGCATCTTAGTCTCATTCTTTGCATATGGCTTTCCAATTTTCCCAGCATCATTTATTGAAGAGGCTTTCTTTTCTCCATTAGGTATTTTTGGCTCCTTTTTTGAAAGTTATGTGCCTGTATATATTTGGGCTTCTTTCTGGGCTCTACATAATTCTATTGTATTGGTCTATGTGTCTGGTCTTTTTTTTGTGGGGGGGGGTCTTGTTTTTTGCCAATACCATGCTCTTTTGATTATTCTCACTTTGTAGTATAATTTGAAATCAGGGAGTATGATACCTCTGGCTTCGTTCTTTTTTCTCAGGATTGCTTTGACTGTTTGGGGCCTCTTTTGGTTTGATTTGTCACATATGAACTTTATTATGTTCAGGTACTTTAATTCTATATCTATTTTGAGTGTTTTAGTCATAAGCTGATGTTGTAGCTAGTCAAATGCTTTTTCTGCATCTATTAATATGGACATATGGTTTTTATCCTTTGTTTTGTTAATGCAGTGTATCACATTGATCAATTTGCATATGTGGGTATTATGCTTTTTTAAACACTATATCATGAACACTTTCATGTCACTAAATATTCTTCGAGAGATGATTTGAACATTTTAATTTTTCACTATCATAAAGTATGCCCTGATTAACATTTTATACATAAAATACTGTTTATCTCTGTTTATTTTTAAATGTTTCAGTGAAACTGCTATGTAAAAATTTATTTTTTTTTAAGATTTTATTTATTTATTTATTTTTTAGAGAGGGAAGGGAGGGAGATAGAGAGAGAGAGAGAGAGAAACATCAATGTGCGGTTGCTGGGGGTTGTGGCCTGCAACCCAGGCATGTACCCTGGCTGGGAATCGAACCTGGGACACTTTGGTTCCCAGCCCGCGCTCAATCCACTGAGCTACGCTAGCCAGGGCTGCTATGTAAAAATTTATATAAACTTTTTATGACTCTTGATATATGTTGCCAAATTGTGCTTTTGAAATATGATTGCTATCTTTTCCTGCCCATAATTGTGGTTTCCTACTTTGCGGGGGCTAAAAAGAGGCAGACCTCTTGTTAATAACTGACATGAAGAGTCAACCATATCCACTCATTTGCAGCTGAGATACCCTTTTTTCACCTTCGTTGTTAATTTATGCTTTAACTGGTTCCTGTGGTCACTTATTTTTCATTTCACTCATCAAAGAGGGTCCCCTCTCAATCCAATCAGGACACCACTGTGTGCAGAAACCTGAGCCAGGCACCGGGTGTGCTGAGGGGATCAGTCGTTCATGTTCTTCCCACACGGTGGCTCCTCAGAAGTGGGTACCATGAGGATGCATTTCTGATTATATTTCTGTGGGGAACCTAAATTTAAAAAAAAACTCTTCTATATTAAAACTGATGGCAACTGTCTTTACAAATCTTACCTTTCTCCAGCATACACATTGTATAGCTAAAGCATGGAGGGATTTCTTTCACTATTTACCAACATGATAAGCTCAAAACACATCCCTTCGATAAGCAATGGATCCCACATTTAGCATTTGCTTTTGTTACATACAGTGTGCTCTAATTGTAAATGAACTGTGTGTGTATGTGTGTTTAAAAAATATAGGGCAATTTAGCAGTGAACAGTTCTATGACAGGGCAATAGAATTATTAACTGTGTTCATTTCCTTATTTTTCCTTGTTTTTCAATGTTTTCCAAACTTTCTATCATAAGCATTTATCTATGTGTAGAGTGCTTACTAACCTTCAATAATACCTGAATATACCTATGTTGGATTAATTTGTTACGTTGGTTTGGTGTCTGACTTTTTTATCTTTTAAATTATGTATTTTTCAGTGTTCTCTATGGAAATAAAATCACGGAACTCCCAAAAAGTTTATTTGAAGGATTATTTTCCTTACAGCTACTGTAAGTAATTGATTGTTTCTGATCTGTTGAACCAAATATTATATCTTAGTCAGTGTCCCATCTCATATTTTTATGGAAGCTTCAGAAAAGTTCAATCCAGAATGACATAGTTTAATGAAATGGAAAAGATTAGCCTAGCAGAGTGAACATTGTTGATGGTTATTTATTTGAAGACACACTACTCTGAAGTTGTCCCAAAACCTTTCTGTCCACACTGACATGAATATATGCATCCTGCCTGCTCTGTTGTTTAAAGCTTTTACAACCCCTGCGCTCCGCAAAACTTCTCTGGTTTGACTTAACAGTAGTTGGGAAGGAAAGAGACATAGCATTGTGTTTATCTGCCTTTGTGCAAAGAAGATGCCAGAGTGACATCCTGGAATAACATCCCCCAACATAAAGATGGTATGCCCACCGGAGGCCAGAACACAGCAGCAACACTCGAGCTAATCTTCAGTAAGAGGTTCATCTGTAAATCCCTGGATTATATCTTTAAAGACCACTCTGCGTAGACAATAGCTACTTCTCCTTTGCCTGAAAAGAACTATTTACTATACTTATTTATACAACTAAGACTTGACCCCAGGTGTTTTAATGAATGCTATATGAAAACGAAATGGGGAAAAAATATGCCAGTATTAAGATTGTGATGGTTGGATCTTCAGATTCGGTCCCAATCTCCAAACACACGTAGAGCACCTCACGTACGGCGCGTACTGGCCTCGCTGCCGTGCCTGCCAAGATGAGTATGATGTAATGACTTCTCTCAACTGGGTCCTGGTCGGCCTGCTTTAAAATTCTTCAATTTCTGATTTCACTTGTATGTGGAATCCAAAGAAGAATATAAACGAACAAACAAAACAAAAACAGATTCATAGATACAGAGAACAGACTGACGGACGTCAGAGGGGAGGGGGCATGCAGAACTGGGTGAAAAAGGCAAAGGGATTGAAAACTACAGACTGGTGGTCACAGAACAGCCATGGGGGTGTAAGTACAGCACAGGGAATACAGTCAATCACATTGCAATAACTGTGTACTGTGCCAGGTGGGGACTGGAAATACCAGGGGATCGCTTTATAAAATATGTGATTGTCTTTAACAACTATGCTGTAAACCAGAAACTAGTGCAAATTAATATTGAGTATAAACTGTAATTGAAAAAATAATTTTAATAGAAATATCATTAACATAAAAAATTTTAACTTAGAATGTTATTTTCTCTTTCAAGTATATGCATTTTGGGGGGGTTGTTGATGTTTATATCATTTATTTGGTAAAAAAAAATTATTCCTAATTCCACAAACTTTCCAAATGTAGATATTTTTAATTTCTTGATAAATATATGTTCATAATTATATTCTATTATTCATGTTTTAAATTTTCCATCATTATCCAGGAACACACTTTATATCACACCTGGTTTTCACACGCACACCTGCACAAATGAAGCAAATTGTTAACCAGACAGCATTGACCCTCCCTGTGCCGGCTACTGTCCCTTCCTTCTCCATTCACTGTCTCCAACAAACCAAGCAGCCAAGACAGATGCTGATCTTTGTTACCTAATGACTTTCTTTGGGTTTCTAATGATTTGTTAACCCTTGCAACAGAGTTAGCAAACGTCGTTTCTGATCTTGTATACAATGCTTCTCTGTACATTCCCTCAGCCTCGTGTTTTATCGCTGTCCTAAGGCCCTATCTTTAGCCTGCCCGAGCTGAAGAGACGTGATAGTCTCTTTACAGCTTGCTGAGAACTTGGTTAAGCATCTGAGATCTGCTTGAATGAACGTAGTATTTGGGGGGAGCCGTAGGTAAATGGAAGGAACTAAATAAATTAGTGTCCAATGCTTTTTTCCACCTGATTTTTGGACCACATACATGTAAAGTAGAAAATGCTCAGAAAAGCACCTTCCGTTGTCCTCCAGGGCCCCACCTTTTTCTTGCTCTTGATGTTCTCTGCTCCAACTCCTCCCTGTGGGTAGCTGATGGATTAGAGAGTGAGGTCCATGGAATGTGTGTTGTGGAGGAGTGGGATTCATCAGTCCATCCTCAAACCAGGTCTCTTAGCTTTCAAGAAAGTATTGGGTAGAACACAGAGAAGGCCAACACTTCAGCTCCTGGAAGGGAATAGAAAGAAAAGAGTGCAGCGAGGAAAACCACCGTGAGGAAGTCATAACTTCACACATGCATGGAGCACCTGAAAAAAGCCAGCACGTGAAACAGAAACGCCTCCTGTTAACATTAGAGATGCTCGCGGCCAAAGGGAAAACATTTTCGGAGTGTCGGATAATAGGGCATACAGACTCAAACTGCAGAGTGCATATGTTTTTTTTTTTTGAGCCACGAAATATTTGTTAAAGTCCTAAGTATCAAGGCACTGAGCTGCACGTTGATAGGGAAAAAGAAATATCAAGGAAATGTCCTGCCCACAGAAGACGAATCTGTTTGGGCAAAGTGGGCCTCCGTGAACTGGGTGACAAGACTAGGTCTTACTGGCACGTGAACAGACTCCCATGTGGTCGGTGTGAGAACTCTGGGACTCGTCGGGCTTCTCGGGAGCCTGAGCATCCGGGCAGCACGGAGTTAGATGGGTTTCATGTGGGATCTGCCCAGTGTGCTGCTTCCTCGTTCACCGAGTCCCCATGCCAGCCCCCAGGCTGCTTCCAGTCGCCCCAAATTCTAAAAGACCAATTCTGCGTTGACACGAGAGAAACGGAAGGAAAGGAAACTCATGACACCTACTGACCATCTTCTCGGCGCCAGGTGCATTACCTGAATTATTGAATTCAGTTTCTCACAGCATTCGTCACTACCGATTCACAACAGCGAAGACAATAAATTCAATAAATGTTTAGCTGACTGATTTAAAAAAGACTAAGCAACTCTAAGTAACTTCCTTGAGACCTCGGGGAAGGATACTTTAGTTGGACAGAAGACATGTTACAGAAAAAAAGGCCCTTCTGTGAGGCCTTGATAGGCTGGAGGTTTGAGAAAAGTGGAGAGTAGGGCACATATATTCCCAAAGGTGAGTCCAAAGGAATGAAGCTCAGACACCATCCTCAGTCACCTGTGAGGATGATGCTTGCCAATGGACGATCTATAAGCCACCATTCTGCAAAGCGTTGATGTAGAATACTGATACACACATGTAAGAAAAAAATGAGTTTCTGGCCTGTTGTGTTAAACCAACTTAAACAGGTATTTATAATGCAAAGTGAGGGCCTTTAATATGGTAATGTACTGTATCCTTTTCCAACGGGACTATCCTGTCTTCATGTAAGAGCAAGTGTTTATTGAGCACCTAATACATGCCAGGCACCTGGGAAACATCAGGGAACAACACAGTCAAATACCCCCGCTGTCTGGAGCTGATACCCTTGGGAAGAGGGACACGCAAATGACAGTCAGCAAGAACAGGATAAATAAATATCTCACATCTAAGAGGTGGAAAGTTGTACTTAATGAAATACAAAAAGTAGATCAGTGTAAATGAATTGGGAGTGCTAGGGGCTGGGGAGGGGCAAACTGGGGCTGACAGGGTGGAAGAGGGTGGTCAGGGTAGGCTGAACTGAGATGGCGAGATCTGAACAGACTCAGGGGAGCGAGATAGTTACCCAGGCAGACACCTGGGAGAACACTCCAAACAGAGAAGAGAGTCTAGCGAGGAGGCGTCTGTGGCTGGAGCTGAAACAGCCCAGAGGAGAGAACTTGGAGGCTGCAGAGTTCAGGAGGGGGCACTAAAGATCTTACTGGGTGACATTGGCTGCTGTCAATAGGACTTTGACTTTGCTCAGAGCGAAGTGGGAGTTGTTGCAGGGTTTGGAGAGAGGGGCGATGTGATGGGTCTGTGTTCCAGAAGACACGTGCTGTATTCTGTTTTGGGGATAGACTGCACATCTCTTTCATAGAACAGTTCAAGGGACTAAGGTTTCGTGGCCCTTTTTTTTTCCCTTTTCTTTTATCCTTGACAGCAGAGGCTGGGTCTCACCCACCCTTGCCTACTGTGCTACCTCTATGCCTTCTAGAGAACTTGTTTAATTATTTTTATTAAATAAATGCATAAATACCACTAGCTTTAGGCACACCTCAGACCGCATGCGCCTTGCTTTATCTGGTATAACCCCAAATCTGCAGCCCGGGACACCTGAATCACGACAGTACACATGTCAGTGTGGAGGACAGAAGAAACGTGTTTCTTGGTTGGGTTTTCTCAAGGACAGAATCTCGAAGGTAAGGGCCGGAGATGCCACATGTTAATTCCACAACTCTTTGACCAAACAGATTATTGAATGCCAACAAGATCAACTGTCTTCGGGTAGACGCCTTCCAGGACCTGCACAACTTGAACCTTCTCTCCTTATATGACAACAAGCTGCAGACCATCGCGAAGGGGACCTTCTCACCTCTCCGAGCCATTCAGACCATGTACGTAGATGCACTTTGGATCGCACTTGACTGTTGTTTTCGCTCTGAACTTGAGAGTTGAGTTCCTTGCAAGTCCTGTATAAAAAAGTTATTCTGTGTGTGTTCCTGAAAGGCATTTGGCCCAGAACCCCTTTATTTGTGACTGCCATCTCAAGTGGCTGGCGGATTATCTGCACACCAACCCCATCGAGACCAGTGGGGCCCGCTGCACCAGCCCCCGGCGTCTGGCCAACAAAAGAATCGGGCAGATCAAAAGCAAGAAGTTTCGTTGTTCAGGTAATTTCCTACCTCACATGACATTTCCCCTGTGTTACCAAAACAGTGGGTACGGGACACCTAGAGACGTCTGGCCTTTGCCTGAACTACCAAAACATTATGCAACCATACTTCTTTGTCTTCGATACCTAAAGAAAAAATAAAGAGGACCGTAAAAACAATTCATATAGGCCTCCTATGGGTAACATTTTTTTACACTATATGAAGCAGAAGAAATAGGCTACTGGCCAAGAAAAAAAATGATGCATGGTTACTTCATACTGTATTCCCAGGGTGCCAACATAACAGGGGCCTTTTAGTTAACTCACAATGCCTTTTAAGCCTGTTAAGTCTCATATTTGTGGTATTATTCTCCATTGAGAAACTTAAGGTAATTAATCATGTTTTCATTGCTTCAGGAAATGAACTGAGACTTGGTTACGTGATTTGCTCAGGCTGAGAAGTAGGGGGAAAATCTCCTGATCCCTTACTGAATACTGTTTTCTCATTTTTGCATTCTCTTATTTGGAATAGGACTGTGAGGCTACATTTTTTTTCCCAAAAGGCCATCTTTTAACATGTTGGGAATATTACATTTATTTATAGAAAGCTAACCGTAGATGCATTGTATTAATTTTAAATAGAAAGCTTACTTCATTGAAACTTACAGTTTGCTTTGGTCTAATCTTTTCTACTTTCTTATGATAAAATACATTCTGTAGGGTTTGAGTAGTATGCTACCTAACTATCCGAGGCCGATCTCTCATTCGGCCATTAATTCATACTAAAAAGCTAATATCAAGACAAAGCTGGTTATTGTCCCTGGTTCTAGATGTGTTTACTACTCACCGTACATGATTATACTTCAGCCCCTGCTGAAAATATACATTTTCACTTAATTATCGGTGGTAACTTTAGTCCATTCTTAATCTAATATAACTCATATCTCTGCTTGCTGACATTCAGGTGCATATTCTATTTTTTTTCTCTTTTTTATTTAGCTAAAGAACAGTATTTCATTCCAGGTAGGTTTGCTTGGTAGTAGGACTAACTACAGATACCCTCTCCTCACCTTATAAAATACAGCTTCTAAAACTTTGACATGCATGCTTCTGAAAGTACAGTGCGTACTGTGTAGATAGATGACTTCTGCGTAGAACACGTAGAGCTGTTTCCTGATCACCTGACCTTTGCATGCAGCTTCTGATGTTAAATACATATATATATTATTAAACTCCCACCTCTTATTTCCGCCCCCCCTCTCTCTTACTTTGGCACATTGTCTAAAATTTCTCCCAGTAGAGCTAAAATGTTTGAACCTATGGTTTTCTACTGAAATCACTTTCTCTCCTTACATTATATATCTGACCTTTTGACCTGTTTTTAAAATGTAGCTTCCGAGCTGGTTTTAAAGACAGAGAACTCTCTGCTGTCAAAGAGCTAGTTCTTCATGAAATCAGCGACAAGCGCACAGGTGTGACTTTCAGTCATGGGATTTCTATATTTATTGGTTTTGTATTTATGTGAAAAGGGTGTCCCTTCATTTTCTCTTGACTTGGCTTATTGTTGCTTTACTTTTTATACAAAAGCAGCAGCTTCCTGCTGATTGACACGCAGTTGTACTTTCTCTGTGACTCAACCAACGTACTGCCCTCTGGGAGCCAGGGTATAGCTCCGTGAGCACAGCATTGACATCCACCCGAAAAGCATCAGAAGTTCATGGGCACTAGGTGCCATGAATAATTTAGGCCAGTGAATGCAATGTTCTTAGAGAAGTAGTCGAAATGTTTCAGCACTACTCTCTTAACGCTATCAAGGCTGAAGATTCTAGAACTAGCTCTTTGAAACATGTTTCTTTGCCTATTTTCTTCTTGCTTGCCAATTGTGTAAAATGCCTCTTGACTTGTTTGTTTTAAACCATTGTAATTAAAAAATATATATGTTGAGTAGTGATTGGTCAGCCACGTTTACCGTGTTCTGGTATATTCTAGGCTATGATGTATTTTTACATTTATAAAGAAAGATACTTTCTGTAGTATTAGGTATAGAATCATACCTGTTTTTTAAAGCTCTGGGTTTGATCTCCTTTTTAAGGAGACAGGTATTGCTTGCCATTCTTGAGTTATGATTTGAATAATGTTATGCATTTAACAGATTTTGTTTTATTACCTATTTTGAGTTTGAATGATCAATAATTTTTTACTTATCACACTGGCAGCATAAGAATTACCATGTCAAAAAAAATAACATGTTGAATAGAGGTTGATTGTTAACCTTATTTCTACCCAAGTATTAGGTAGAAAGTTACCTGATAGCGATTACTTATCTAGCAAAAGATCTGTTCCAAACACAAAAACACCTATAGGATAAAACAGTATTACTTAACCCCCCAAATTATAGCAGTTAATGTAATTATTAACAAATTATTTAATCTGTTACATTTAAATATAGTTCATTGTTTCATATTGCATTATATTTTAAATACTCATTTATTACATGTACATTATTTTAAATATAATTCATTAATAATTTAGAAAGTAATATTTTCAATTCACCAAATAAAGAACAAAAGTTGGGTTGATGTCATAAATTCTACTGCACTTTTGCCCACTTATTGACAGCAGCCAAAACAGGCTTTAGAAAATACCTTTTACATCAGATATCATGGCTTAATTGTCAGTTTATGGTCATTCAATTTATGTTATTTAAGACAATAATTATAGAAGTCAGGACTCAGAAGAATCTTTGGCCCTACTCTCCCTTTCCTTCCAGAGTTTAATGAAATTTGAGCATAGCTTAAGAGTCACCATATAATAAGAGTCATTGTCATTGTATAGAAGGTGAATTACTCTCAATGTAAGATACCTAGTGTACCTGTTCCTTAGACTTAGTTCCCAGTATTTTCCCACTTTAATTTTAACACAAAAGCTTAAACCACAATACAAAAGATTTTCAATAAATGCCCTGGCATTAATTTCTAAATGTAATGAAACTGTTATGTTAGCTTTGCACGCTTTTTATCTGATTCCATTTTAACTGAATGGCATTATTTACAAATTGGAAAGGTGATTAAAAAGCATGTGAGCCACAACCTAAGGATTAATCCAAACGTGCTAATGATAATCCTTGAAAATCTACATGATTAGTTTTTCACTTGATTTTACATGTTTATTTGCCTACCGCCATTCCATCTGGCATTCTAGATATCACAGTGATAACTCAAAAAAAAAAAATCCATCTGGCAGAGAGTTCATCTTTTAAAGGAATTGACCAGAACTTAATTGGTGCTATGCATCTTGGATGCCATTGCTTTTCCTATAAGAACACCATGCTTCAAAAAATTATTATAAAAGTTTACAAAGCATGACGATTCCCAGCCTTCCATACCATTACCCAATAATTGCCACAGTAGGGAAAGAAGAAAGAGACCTTTAGTTTTATATATATATACGTGCCTATTAATCGTAATTGGGATTGCTGTCTTTCTTTCCTTCTTGGTGATCTTTACTTTTACAGGCGTTCGCCATGTGGGCTGTAAGTAAAGTGTCTGATCTGAAACAGAATGTCCCCCCTTTTCAATCCTGGTTGTTACCTACCTTCTTCCAGTCTCGGTCTTTTGCGCCTTTTTTTTTTTATATTTTTTCCCAAGAAGAAACCACAGATCTTTTGAGCTTCTCTGTTGTCCTTGTAGCTCACGTCCAACTTCTCCCTGGAGGTTGCTCCCGAAAGCTGCTGTTTCCATTCTGCAGTTCTGAGGAACAGCGGAGGCACCTTTCAGTGTAGCCCCTTCTTTGTGTTTCCAGGAAACCTTCGGTAGTAATACTCTTACTATGGTCATAAACATTCTGCGGGAAGAATGCATGTCATGTAAACAGTATTACGTTTCCAGAACGTCTGTAGCTTTTCTCCTGCTTCCCTTCATCCTTCCTCTCCGTCTTCCCCTTGGCCTAGTGGATGGTGTAGTGATTATGTAGCGAGATTTTCTGTTGTGCTTGATCTAACCATGTGGTTGCCAGGTATGAGTAAAACATGGTTCCGTCAAGCACCATGGAACGTCACGCAGCTTTCTACAGCATGGCAAGCTGCTGAGGCTTAAATCAGGATGTACTGGTCTCTCTTTATAAAAATCAAAATAAAAAAAAAGAGGGCTTTTGAGGCATCTCTGGAGATTATGTGAGAGGGGGAGAATGATGAAAGACCATAGAAAATTTAAAAACCTGAGTACATCTATTTGCCTTGAAAGCCCTGATTTTAAATGATATCTAGGGATATGTTTATGACTGGATACATTTTAAATTCTTGACTCCGAGAAAAAAAAAGAATCTTTTTAACAATGAATAGCCATTGTGTGATTCGCTGTCAAATAGGCTTAGAATGGCTCATAACTGGATCAGCAGAAAGTACAGCTGTGAAAAGCTCATCTCTATTAATGTTTTCCTGTCCTGTGAATCTAGTTACTCTTTTTTTCCAGCAAATTCCAAGCCCTTGTTTTAACCCTCTCCTGACATCCATTGACCAAATTCCCCTAAGTTGTCTCCCTGCTACATAATCTATAGTTATCTTCCTTTTTTCTCCCTACAAATTAACAGACATTCTAACCTGTAGACTCAGTATCTTTCTGTTTTATTTTTCTTGGCTTGAATCCTCAATAGGTACAGAAGATTATCGATCAAAGTTAAGTGGGGACTGCTTTGCAGACCTGGCTTGCCCTGAAAAGTGCCGCTGTGAAGGAACCACGGTCGATTGCTCCAATCAGAAACTCACCAAAATCCCAGACCACATTCCCCAGTACACTGCAGAGCTGTAAGTCCTTCGTCCTACGAAACCCAGGGTGGGAGGGAGGAGACAGGAGCATCAAAGCATTGGAATTTTGGTCTTGCCCTTTTATTCTGAATTATTACATTAATCTTAGTAAATACACATTGACGTAACTCTTCTGTGCACAAGAATATTTTAAAGGCTATCTCACTTTATCTTCCTGGCCCAAGATACAATTACAGAAATGGAGTTAGCACTTAGTCATGCTACGAGTAATAGCATCTGCGTGATATTTGTTTCTTGAGCATTTTATCTGCCAAACCCATTTCTGAACAATTAACAGATTTTTAACATGTGTAGTCTTTAGGGCAACCAAATAAAGTCGTTTGAAAGAATCACCATTTTGAATCTCTGTTAATTGCGAATTCAAAAAGTCTTTTAATATCTGCTCTGCGACCTCGCTGACTCGTGGCTGGAAGGATTCGGTGATTATCACGTATTAAAGCACAAAGGCCAGCATACCAGGAGGAGCCGAGAGACAGGGTGTGATCAGATGTGTATTTATAGCCCCGACAAAGGGCCTAGCACGTGCTGGGATCGTTCACAGGTGTCGTGTCCATGTACGGTTTGCCTCGGCTGACTTTATTTATAGAAGGGAGACATTTCGTGTCAGTGCTCTAAAACCCAAGAAAAACCTGGTGAGATCTCATCATTTTCTTCTGAACATTTCCGCCACGTTTATGTCTAGTACCATCTGGTATTTGTCATCATCCACTTCGCAGAGTGGGCTGTCTCTCTGTGCCCGTACGATCCTGACTGCATTTTAGCCCCTTAATGACTGGGATCGTGCTTAATAGTTCATCTCCCACGGTGTCTAAACTTGTGCCTGTTACTTAATGAACTTTAAGTAATTTGAATAATTAAAAATAATGTAATGCTTTCAAAGAGATGACAGGAACTAACTACCTGTGATTATAGTGATGGTGTTTTATTCCTGTTAGTTCATAAAGCTATTTCATAGCACCAGGACTTTAGAAATGCCTGGAGACCATGCAATTAAAGCCCCAAACTCCCTTTTTTGGACTCGAGTAGGGAGCTGTGCCTCTTTTCAACAATACTGAAACGGTCATGCAGATCATCTCTTCCAGCATGATAAGTATGTGAAGTAAGCTTGCTTGTCTTATCAAGAGCATTAGAAACTAGCATCTAACTTACTTTTCAGCAGAGGTGATGTTTGTGTCTTAAGAAATTAAGGATTTTTTTTAAATTAGACATTTAAAAATTGGCACCTGGAAGAAAATATTTCCAAACCATGTATCTGATGAAGTACTTATAATCAGAATGAATGAATAAAGAATTCTTACAATTCCACAATATAGCAAAAAATAACAATGTACATTATCCAATTAAAAAGTGGTCAGTGTATTTGTATGAACATTTCCCCAGACATACAAATTACCAATAAGCACATGAAAAATTCTCGGTATCATTAGGCATCAGGGAAACAGAAATCAAAGCCAGAGTGTGGTAAGAGTACACACACACTAGAGTGGCCATTAAACAAACAAACAAAAAACAAACAGACAAAGACAATGATAGATGAGAGAAGCTGGACCCTTCACACATTGCCGCTGGGACTGTAAAATAATGTAGCCCCTTTGGAAAAGAGTGGCTATTTCTCAAAGAGTTTAATGTCTATTTACCATGTGACCCAGCAGTTTCACACCTATGTGTATATCCAAAGGAACTGAAAGCACATATCCACAGAAAAACTTGTACACTGGTATCCTAGCAGCATTATCTATAATAATCAAAAAGTAGAAGGAACCCAGATCTTCATCAGTGGAGCATTTGGTCAGTGAAAGAATGAAATACTGATGTGTGCTAAATTGGCATGAACCTTGGGAACATTGTGCAAAGTGAAAAAAGCCAGCCACAGAAGGCCACATTGAGTAGGATTCCACTTATAAGAAACATGTAGGACAGGAAAATGTACAGCAACAGAAAGTAAATTGGTGGTGGCCCAGAACTGAGGGAGTGGGGGATCACACTGAGAGTGACTGCTAATGGGTATGGGATTTCTTTGGGGGTGACAGATATATCCTAGAATTCAGTAGCAAAAATGGTTGCACAATTTTATGAATGTGCTAAAACCCACTGAATTATATACTTTAAAAAGATGAACTTCATGACATATAAATTGTATATCAGTAAAGCCGTTAATAAAAAAAATATGAAGCAAGTGATTAGAAAAACTGGTCTAAAATGCTCTTGGAGAGGGGCAGTAGCAGGAAATGAAGTCTGTGATTACCAAATGAGAGCTTGTTTTGATTTTTGATCATTGTTTTTTCTTTACTATGGGCTTCTCATATATTTTATTTTGATTATTAAAATTTGAGTGAAATGGGAAAACGTTCAGTACAGTTGTCCCTGCATCTCCTCGGGTTCTCCATCTGCAAATTTAAACAAACTTTGATAGAAAATATTTTTTTAAGCCGTCTTGTTGCTGACATGTACTATGTAGGTAGGCCTATGATGGTGGGCCTGTACTGAACATGGAACATGGGCAGACATTTATCTGGGCACTATTTTCTTAAAAAATAGAATATAACATCTATTTACATAGCATTTACTTTGCATTAGGTATTATAAGCAATCTAGAGATGGTTTAAAGCATATGGGAAGATGTGTGTAGGTGAAATGCAAACTCTGCATCATTTCATAGAATGCGCTTGAGCATCCCTGGATTTGGGTATCCAAGGAGGGTCCTGGTAGTAATCCCCTATGGATATGGAGGGAAAACTGTATTTTCCTTGGATCTTCTGTGAGGTGTGTCCTATAGCTTGCTTGAGGATAATCATCAAATGATGTTATAATTCCATATGAGAAATAAAATTGTATACCTTCCTGACTCAGACAAGAAACGTTTCTGTCTCTTTTTCTAGGCGTCTCAATAATAATGAATTCACGGTGTTGGAAGCTACAGGAATCTTCAAGAAACTTCCTCAGTTGCGTAAAATGTAAGCCGTGCATTAGCCATCTTTGTACATTTCTGTCGTGTTTCGTTGTGTTTTTCCCCGTCCCTTTGCAGTTTCATTCAGATGTATTTGGAAACTGGAAAACATAAAAGGTCCTGAAAGATTTCCATACAGTGCCTACCTGTGGCACGATTTAGGGTCATCTCTGAGAGGAACCTGAGTGGTTGGGTCTCTTCTGTGTGTTCCAGTGATGCCAACCTCATTTCTGTGGCTGAGCGCCGGCGTCTCGCTGCGCCTCAGACAGCTGGCCTGTTTGTGCAGCCACAGCGGGAACCCAGCATCTAAGCACTTTAGAGATGGGTTCAGTAATGCCTTGTAACTTCCTCCACTATCCCACAAACCAAGCTGTTATTTCTCTTGCAGCACATTCATGTCAACTGTTTGACTTTTTGCTTCATTAAACTTTCATTAGGAGATAGTCAAAATTAATGATTGCTAAACGGGCTTGATAGCTCAACTGTGGTACTACACATTCACAACTCATATTTCAAAATAATTTTGTAAGCTCAGCAGTTTCAGCAACACTCGAGACAGTCCTCCACCCCGCTGATGAGGAAGGAGGGAGCAGGGAGGGAGAGACAGGACAGAGGCCAAGAGTGTAAGGCCAAGGGAGCACCGTCCGAGTATGAGGAAACATCAGTCAGGAGGGGGAAAGGGACATTTTTCTGTGGTATCTGTGCTTTTCTATGTGTACCTGGCCCGTGGTCATAGACTGTAAGAAGCAGAGAAGACATAAACTACTTCTCTGCCCTTGACCTTCATATCACGTACTGCCTCCCAAAGAGTTTCTACTCACTTAATTGTCCTCCTTTTTCTGATACAGACTGCTCTTTCTTCTTAGCTATAAGATGCCTTTCCATTGAATGCATATTTTTTGAGCAGCTATTATGTGCCATGCTCTTCGAGGGATAAAATGACGCTCCTAGTCTTGGATGAGCAGTGAGAAACAAAGTACAGACAGTTACGTTGGTGGTTTGGGCACATTGCTCCATAAATCTCACTGGTAACAAGCTCATAATCAGATATATTCCTGATGCTGTCTAAATGCTCACACAGTTTAGTTCATTCTTCTCTCTGCCCAATGGCCTTCTTTTAGTCATTAATTCATTCAGCGCTTTCAATCAGGGGCATTTCTTTCAAAACTTCCTTATTAAGTTTTGTGGCAAACAAAGATGGATGCAACTCAATACCTGCCCTCAAGAACTTTATACTCCTGGGGACCCATTCAGATTATTTTGACAATAACCAGCCTGATATTTTTCACCGTGAACATTGCCCTTAGTATTATCATCACGTTGACTTGATGGAATCAGGAGGTGGTGTCTCTTCTGAGCCCTGGGAATCTGGGCGGAGAGGAGCTGGGCAACTGCGGAAGGGTATCCCCGTAGAGGAAGGGGATCGCACATGGCTCAGTGTCCTCACTGTCGGGAAGAAATCGTTTCAAATCTGTGTTTCAACCATTTTTATTTAGAAACTTTAGCAACAATAAGATCACAGACATTGAAGAGGGAGCATTCGAAGGAGCCTCTGGAGTGAATGAAATACTGCTCACAAGTAATCGCTTGGAAAATGTGCAGCACAAGATGTTCAAGGGGTTGGAAAGTCTCAAAACCTTGTAAGTATTCTTGTCTGCATTGTGAACCTTCTGCTACAGGATTGCACTTCGCTGGCGGTTTTGATCCTGGAGAGAGAGAGGTTGGACATTCTAATCTCCCTCATTCCCCCAGCCAGCCACCAGCCCATCTCTCTCTCTTTCCCTCTCTCCCTCTGTCTCTCTCTGTCTCTCTCTCTCTCTCTCTCTCTCACACACACACACACACACACACACACACACACTTACTTCTGGATGCAGACAGTCTCGTACTCTAATACCGCTGACTTCACCATGCTGCTTGAAAAGAGCAGAAGGGTCTCTCCGTGCTGCAATTCCACAGCAACAAAAACAACAGATCACCTTTGATCCACTGCTTGGAGAGATTCAGCTCTTCTGATCCGCCTCGGCATGACCATTCCTTTCCCTTTCCCTCAAACCCCTCCATCGAAAACTCTGTCCTGGCCCGACGCAACTAGCTTCAGAGTCCACTCTGCGCCCTGTGGCAGGAGAGCAGCTTACCCGGAGATCACCTTTGTCTGCGCCTGCAAGGTCTTAATGAGAACGAGACGGATGGGTGTTGGAACCTTTACTATGAATTTCAAAGCAGGCATGCTAAGAGGATGTCTGCTTCCTTGCTTAGGGGCTGAGAGGTTGGGAAAAAATAAATTCTATATGTTTCCAGAAGGTGGTTGGCCAAGGCGGATGGGAATGGAGTGACTAGCAAGGGCAACACTCTGAGTTATTGAATTTCCTACACAGCACGTATGTGCTTTTTACTATCTCCAAAGTATGTAATTATGTTTGATGAAAGTGGTGGCCTGAAACTTGGAAGAGACACAAAGTGAACTCTGAGGCCTTTGGAACACACAAAGGAAAGCTGTCCCCAAGCAGCAGCCCCCGGAGATGGCAGTGGAGAGAGCCCCGGCCCCACTACCCCCCACCACCCCCATCCTCTCCCTCAGCCCTCAGCCCTCAGCCCTCAGCCCTCAGCCCTCAGCCTCAACCAGGGGGCCGAGGGCCGGGGGAGTCCCTGGCCTGCCCTTTATCAGATGTGAAGGGAGCGAGCAGTCCTCCAGACAGGGTGGGGGTGTCACTAGCACCCCAAATTCAAACCCCGCTGAAAAACCTCTGCCTGGGGAAGTACACATGTGTTCCCTGAGGAGTAGCCTGGAACCTGTCCAGGCGGACCCCTCTTCTGCGCAATTTGGAGCCCCTTCAACATGTTATGCAAATATTCCTTCGGACTTTTGTCTAGGAGATAATGAGTGTGTAGAAGGAAGGAGGAGAAGTTGTACCACAGGTGCCGGGCTGCATCTACGCCCACCCTCCCTCCCCACCCCCAAGCTGTCTCCGGTAACTCAGCAAAACTAAATCTTGCATCAAGCAGAATCCTTCCTGCTTAGACAATAGTGGAGGGACTCCTTGTTACTGGAAGTTTCTCCTGGACTGGGCAGGAGAGGGGGCAGCGAGTGGGGATCCTGTAACTCCAACTGCATTCGTCTGCCTCCGGCTGCCGTAATGAAAAACCACAGGCAGGATGACGTAGCAGGAATGCGTTTTCTCACTGTTTCGGGGGCCTCTCAGTCCAAGATCAAGGTGCTGAGAGGGCTGGTTTCTGGTGAGGGCTCTTTCCTGGGGCTTCAGCGTGCCATCTTTTCATGGTGTCTTTACTGAACTTCCTCCATGTGCAGGGAGGGAGAACTCTAGTGTCCCTTTCTCTTCTTACAAGGACACCATTCCTGTCACATTAGGGCCCCGCCCATAAGCCTTCATTGCACCTTAATGACTTCCCTAAATGCCCAGTCTCCAGTGCAGTCACATCAGGTGTCAGGGCTTCGACGACATGTGAAATTTAGAGGGACACAGTTCCGTGTCTAACACCATGGCAAAGGGTTTAGCCAAGTATTTCTTCTGAGTAGTTTCATTCACGGGACTCCGGACTCTGCCCAAGATAGGTTCTCTACATTCATTTTCCCCTTTATCATATTTCTAGCGATGTGTTTGTGCCTCTTACGTTTTGGCGCCTGAGGTGGACACCCAGCTGGCTCTCGGCTTGATCCCACTGTTACTGGAACAAGCGTAAGAGAGCATTTAGAGCCAAGCTCGGGCAGTCAAAGGCCTGAAGTCGCTTTATCCAGACATATGTAGTCCTCCACGTGGGGACGTCCAGCTTGGAGCTCTGAAGATCTTGACAGGACACCCCAGCTGTCCCTAAACTCCATCCCAGATCGCAGGTGAAATGCGGTGCATACGTGCGCTTACAGATTTTTGTGGTGACAGAAAGGGAAGCTTTCTCTAACTTCTCCAGGGATTCGTGAGTCCCACAAAATTAAGACCATGTGCTCTTGGTTATTTACGGCAAAGGCTAGTGCTGGTGGGAGTCCTTTTTTGTGGCACGTTTGTCTCGCAGCATAAAATGATGTCTCAGGCAGGTGGCATCATCCTTTCTTCTTATCTGTGACCTAGCAGGATGCAGAGGTTGATACTTCTTATTTATTAGAGGGCGGTCTAGAGGTTTAAAGGAACATTTTGTTGTTGATTTATTGTGCCTCTCTTTTTTACATCCTGCAGTCTTCGACTAGGGTAGTCGACTCATGTTTAGAAAAATTAAGGAAAAGAAATTAAATTTTTAGCAACTCTGAGTAAGATTTATGGCAGCCAGTTATTTTGACTGGGATTTTTAGACCCTTTTGTTGTTTTGCTAAGCCCTGCAAATGAAGGGTTCAGACAAGCCTCAAGGACTGAACCCAAACTATGGCAGTGTTGCCAAAATGACTGCTGTTCATTGTATGAATGGCAATGATGACAAAAAAAAGAAAGAAAAAAGATGGTCAGAATTTTTTAAGGAGAAGCCCCATTTCAACCTCCTTGTTATCAACTGAGATCTTTAACTCTGGCTTCTTTTTAAGTTCTGAGTTTAAAACAGTGAAACAGTTTTCATAAATAAAATAATTTGTGCAGGCTCTGTGGACGCACGGTCAAGTTTGACTCCCACAGCCGACGTTGACATTGACGTGGCGTGCAAGTCCCTGAGATGCCCTTCGTCGTTGTTCATCTGTTCTGGTTATTGATTCTTCTCTGCCTCCCTTCTGTCCCCCCTCCGATGTAACACTGCAGTGAATGCACAAATCACAGGGCTTCAAGGGCTTAGAGAGCTGTAGGTGAATTGGGACATTATGTAATCATGCAAACAAAATGATAACATCAAAGGGAAGCATTCTATCCTCATCCGATGGGGTTGGAGATCCACGGGCTAGGCTCTCCTTGCTTTTTGTAGCTGAGAGCAATCACTGACAACTCGAAGCATTTTACTTTTTCAGAAGGTTCTCCGTACATAGCCACAGTGATTCCTAATGTCTAAAAAACATTCAGAGAACAATAATGAATGCTACAAAGTTGCAGAGACAAATTATTTTGGTCCAAAGATAGGCACAATTGATTGCCTGATGCTTTATCTCCATAACAATGTTCTCTTTTCTCCCCCTCAGGATGTTGAGAAGTAATCGAATAAGCTGTGTAGGGAATGACAGCTTCATAGGACTGAGTTCTGTGCGTCTGCTTTCTTTATACGATAATCAAATCACTACAGTTGCACCAGGGGCCTTTGACACCCTCCATTCTTTATCTACTCTGTGAGTATGGAAGTCAGTCTTCATCTGTGTATTCCTTGAGCCGCTGTATTACATTTATTACTTGCATCGATAGCATTTTAATGCGTTATTAGGCATTTCATAAAAACGTGATCAAGGGTTCAGGTATTTTTTAAAAGACAAATTTGTTCATGTGACAGTATTTTAACTTTTCTAAAAATGATTACCTACTATCTCATATTAGAGTTAAACAAAGATCATCGTATTTTTCAGCCAGTTCTTTTTTATGAGAATGTCCTGTGGCTTAGTAATTTATACATTTTAATCGTATGACCCTAATGTGCTGCCAGTAAAAGGAATGTTATAGATTGTCCCTGGTGTTCTTGCCGTGGAGTCTCTTCAGCATACGTAGTGCAGAAACAGAGTTTCTAGGGCTGTTGCCACCACGCGATGCTCAGAAGGTCACCACGGTGAGGGGCTGCATCAGGATGACCAGAGCAACAAGAACAGCTGCTCCCGGGGGCGGGGCGGGGGGTGGTATTCCCTAAGATATTGGGAAAACATTGAAGAAATAGGTTGAGCCCGTCCAGAAGCAGATTTTATGTAGACAATTTGAGAATAAAGAATAATTGTAGGTTAAGACAAAGAACTCAGAAAGTGTCAAAAAAACCCTCTCCAAACAATGTATTTCAGTCTATCAGTACCTAAGAAGCAGTGTTTAAAATGATAAATTTTGTAACTAATTGGATATCCTGGTAATCGTGGCATACTAATCTAACTCAAAAGGTAGTTAGGAATTAAAAAAAAAAACATGTTCAACATAGCTCAAGTCTCAGAAGAAATAATTTGAGGAAAGCATCCATCCACCAGCAAAGCACTTAATCCTCTTTCCACATAAAATGTGACATATTACACGGGGTGACTAATTTGTGCATATTAAATATGGCGTGTTTGCAAATAACAGAATTGTCAATAGGTTTGCGCTGAAGCGGAGAGGTGCCGAAAGTCTGGAGATTTGTAGAACTAAATTCATTTTTATAACTGGCATTTAATCAACTCAGCTGTCAGTTCAGATGGGAAACCTATTCTCTAGAGCAAATAAGGGATGGAAATCTTGAAATGACAAATTAACGAAGTAGCTGTTGTCAGGTTAAACTCAATAATATGAGGTAATCAGCCTTCCTCTATACATGAAGTTATTGCATTATCAGGACAGGGGGGTCTGACAGTGACTCAGATCCCAGACAAGTTTAAATTATCTCTAAATGAGGTGTCTCTCAGGACCCCCTGCATAAGCCCTAAATTGCTGCCTTCACTTTGTATTTTTTGCATGAAATTACTTGAAGCATTCTTGTAGGAAAGTGTCATTATTTTGTACATTCCACACATAAATATTTTAGCAAAAAGAAACACATCTCGTATGTTGTGATTGAGTATGGATCGGGGACTGCAGAGGAATGTGAAGAGTGAGAAGAAACCATTCCAACAGAAATAGTCTGGCAAAGTGGTAGCGCGGGGTTTTGAGGAACAAGCAAGTGCAACCCTGACCTCAACTCTGCATTGTTTGCATGTGGCGCTTAGGAACCTCTTGGCCAATCCTTTCAACTGTAACTGCTACCTGGCGTGGCTGGGAGAGTGGCTCAGGAAGAAAAGGATCGTCACAGGCAATCCTCGATGTCAGAAACCGTACTTCCTCAAGGAAATCCCCATCCAGGATGTGGCCATTCAAGACTTCACCTGTGATGACGGTAAGAAAGCCTCTGGATGGGCCTGGGAATTACTACGCTAAGCGAAACAAGCCAATCAGAAAGACGGGTACCATATGATCTCACTTACATGTGGAATCTAATCAACACAATAATTTAACAAGCAAAATAGAAACAGAAGCATAGATACAGAGAATAGACTGACAGTTGTTGGGAGGGGGGGTTGGGGCCTGGGTGAAAAAAGGTGCAGGGATTAAACAAATACAAATATTTATATTTATATTTATATGACATATAGACACAGATAACAGTGTGGTAATATCCAGATGGAAAGGGGGGTGGGGTGGGGAGAGGTGAAAGTGGGCAAAAGGGGGGAAAATGGGGTAGAAAGGAACTTGACTTTGACTTTGAGTGGTAAGTGCATGGGTTAAGTGCATGTGTGATGCAGCATGCAGATGATGTGTTATGGAGACGTACACTTGAAACCTGTATGGTTTTATTAACCAATGTCACCCCCCAGTTAATTCAGTAAAAATAAAAGGAATGCCTAACCAAAGCTTGGGTCACCGGGCATCATGGTGAGTGTTCGGGTGCTCTATGAAACGTATGGTATCAACCCATAAATCCTTCACGCCCTATATATCAGTGATCGTGTGGCTCAGAATTGGTGCTTGTCGTGTTCATGTCAAAGCGTGGAATCGCTCCTCACGTTGTCAAAGCCGCAAATCGGGGTCTTCCTGTGTGTCTTTTGGCAATTTAGGAAATGACGACAACAGCTGCTCCCCCCTGTCCCGCTGCCCCACGGAGTGCACCTGCCTGGACACAGTGGTCCGATGCAGCAACAAGGGCTTGAAGGCCTTGCCCAAAGGAATTCCGAGAGATGTCACTGAACTGTAAGGAAGCGCGTCTGTCTTCTTCCTGAGTAATTAATACGTCACACTCCGAGGGAAATGGGCACCAGACAAAAGGTTTTAGAGTCCTGTTTGCAAATGACATTCTATGGGCCTTCAGTGCGCATCACCTAAAACCTTAAACAAATAATAGGGAAGCTGGTCCTTGGGAGATGCTGGTGGGGCGTGTCTCTCTGTTCTTCCCTGCTGGATTTCGCATGCTGGGGTGCACTGCGAAGCGCCAAGAGAGGATGGTGGAAAATAAGGATGTGCCCACACCTACATGTTCCTACAGCCCTTTTCTCATTGAGTGACTTGTAAAATGTTCCATCAATGCGCCTGGGGGGATGCCACATATTTAGTTTATCTTTGGTGTCTGAGATATTCCATATGGTTAATTATTCTTCACCACCGCATCCCTTAGGAGAATATCTCACCATATGGGATACATTAATGTCTTGGGGGGGGCGGGGTGGAAAAAGCTGGCATAATCTTTACCTTTAAAAAGAAAAACTGCTCTTTGGATTTGAATCGGAGCCCTTGAGTTGGTAAAGGGTTTGGGGCCAGTGATCTCTGACGTTTTCATTACTGATGTAACCATAAATTACGTGGTCAGCACACACATGTCTAGGTGCTAAGCACCACCCACACCTCCTTAGCTGCCTTGTGCTCTGTTGGGGAATAAATCAGAGGATAAGCTGCTTCGATAATAATGCATGCGTACTCTATTCCATTCCCTTGTGTGTATACGGATGGGCAGTGCCCAAATGCTTGACTTGCAACCGAGTCATTTTGCCTCATTGATTTTTGTCTGTAAGGAACCATGTGTCAAAAATGATTTAAGTGCAACTCTAACTCATGCAAATGTGTACCTGTAATCAATGTAGCTGTGTACAAGTATTCCAGATGAGCGGCTTTGATAAACTTTTGGCAACATAGTTAATGAGGTTTAAGAAGACACTACTTCAGTTTTTTAAAAAACTTGTTTCCAAATCATGAGCAGTTCTGTGAATCCTAATTTGGTCCCGAATTGAACACTCAGACAAAAACCGTGTGTGATCTTAGCGTCTGTACCCAAAACATTCCTCTTAGATCTGAGTAGTTATAAAACGATCCATTTCTCTCTCTTCCTGCCCATCACAGTTGTTAATTAACTATAAGCGCTGCTTTGTGTGTGCATGTGTGTAGTTAAGTACTTAATTCTTACTTGAATGTGTGTTTATTACAGATGACTGCCCTCCCCTCAGAGTCGGGAAGCTAGATGCCCATAGAATACTCCGTGATGCCCATAGAATACTCTGTGATGCCCATAGAATACTCTGTGATGCCCATAGAATACTCCGTGATGCCCATAGAATACTCCGTGATGCCCATAGAATACTCTGTGATGCCCATAGAATACTCTGTACGCAAAGCACTGATCGTGGGGGCCCGTGGCCGAGCACAGGGCTCTCATCGGGGCACTCCGACTGTCTGTGCTGCTGACGCTTTTCTTGTATTAACTGGCCCCTCCCTTCGTCGTTTTACCAGGCTCCCAGTAAATAATGTAGAAATATATGTATACTCTTTAAAATTTTAACCCTCTTTAATTTCCCTACAAAACTACATTTGAGAGCCTGCTCAGTTCATGGCCTGTCCGTGCCGCCAACAGGTTTCTTCCGTCACACGGTCAAGTCCTCCGTCTTTTCTCTGCAAAGTTTACAGTGTGATCTTTGCTAAGGAAAGCAGGTTCTGGCGCTGAGGGAGTTAGCTCATCTCTTGTGAATGCTAGTTTCCCTCCCAGAGAGCTTATTCTTGGATCCATATCCCGTCAGCAGGATTGCTCTGTACAGTAATTTGTATGCATGCATTAGGAAAATTCCACGGGCTAATTATATTAAATCATCAAAGCATTTAGCAAAATAACATCAGTAGAAATTTTAAAACAAAAAGCGTCTATTGGTTTTAATCATTTTCCCGTGATTTCCCTCTTAGATTGCTTCACGTGTAAACATCCACAGCACACTTTCTGTATCTTTTTAGCTTTCTCTCAAGAGGTTTTCTGGAATGAAGGGAGAGTGTTGAGGTGTGTGGGGTTAGGCTGCCGTCTAGTGGCTACGAGCAAAATTTAGCTCCAGGAAAGAAAGGAGGGAGGAGTTGAATGAAGTACAAAGCCAGAAAATTGAGTAGGCATGAGGAATCCTAACATGTGCAGGCTCTTAATCAAATATTTATTAGGTATTGTGATCATTTGTGACTATTATACAAGTGTTTTCATTTTGAAATAGCTGAAACAGATTGTTATCGTAGGGAGTGTCTCGGCTACTGCTCTGTGCAGCACAAGTACTAACCGCAGCCCTGGATCCCGAGATTGACCACACCACGGGGGCAAGCGGGGTCACGGGCCCAGCATGCCAAAGTGGCTGGGGGCCCGTCTGCACCAGATGACCGAAGTGGATGAAAGACACTTGTGCCCTCCACTATCTATGTTCCTAGAAAGAACAGCCTTGGGAGGAGATGGAATTTATTCGTGGGGGGGGGGGGGGCATTGTGGGTATAACTTGAAGCATTCCTTTACTTTCATGTCTTTCCAGTTAGCCCAGAGCCTATCTATTTTCTGATTATTCTGCTGATTCCAATCAGAATGGGGAAATTTACTTGTGGGTAGTTTTTTTTATTATTCCTTTCACATATATATATATACTATAATTGTGCACTTGATAAATGTGATTTCCTAAGAAACCTCCTGAAATTAATATCATCAGGCAGATAGATATACAGTGGGAAAAACTATTTTTAAGATATTATTAACTGAAATCTAATTGTGTTTGAATTCCCAAGTGTCTCCTTCACACCACCCATTGCCGTTTACGAAGTGTGTTGATCCATGTTAAAGGCAGCGAAGAGTAGTCTTGACCTCAGCAGCGAGGTTCTGCCAGCCGTTAACCCCTGTCACGGCGTTAACTCCGCACCAGCACAAGCAAACTGCAGTTTGACTAAAAGTGTGGTTATCTGAATGAACCTTCTTGATGAGCAGTGTGGTTGGACATGTGTCCATTTTAGATGGACCACAAAGCACTGGACTCCCCAGGCTCTCCTTGGCTTTAGAATTTAGTGTAGTGACCCACAACGGAATTCTGAGGGACTGGACCAAGTGCGTTTTCCCCTCTTCTTCTCTGAAATAGCAGTCTCAGCTGGGAACACGCCATCTTCAAGTCAGAATCGCCGAGTGCTACCTTGCCTCCACCGAGAGTGAAATAGTGTGCAACTCTTTTAAAGTGCACTACTGTTACTTTAAAACAAGATAATACTGTTTCCTCGTTTGCAGGTACCTGGATGGGAACCAGTTTACGCTGATTCCTAAGGAACTCTCTAACTACAAACATTTAACACTCATGTAAGTAACGTGTGCTGTGTTCCTGTCTTTGACTTCTTATCCCATTTCACAAAAACGGGGATGGCGAGGGGCAGAGACGTGGTGGACCTTCCAGATGATATGAATCATTCACCGTGGGCTGCTGCCTCCTCGCTCACTGTGGTTCTGCTTACCGCTTGCTTCTTCATCATGTGTCAACCAGGCGGAGGCACTCCTGGGAAAAGGTCCTCCTCTTCAAATTACAAATACGATTAAGTCCGTGTTTCAGAGAACTGGAAAAATGCAGCAAATGGGATACTCCTGTTCATAATGATTATGGGCTATTTTGTGACAAACCAAGGAAAGAAAGATAGAAAACAGTATTTTTATTCTTGACTTTAAGCAAAAGTTGGTAGATGGTGGTAGATTTACTGAAAATATAAATCTAGCTTACTAGGTTTAATTCTCTTATATAATAAATTATGGATTCCGTTATGGGCTTCCAGGATTCAGATTCATTTTTGTAGCCCATATTTACTTATACTGTATCTAAGAAGACTTGATAAAGATGCTGGCATTCTGAATATAAATTTCAAAATTCTGAATTTTTTCGTTTGGTTTGATCCCCTAAAATAACATTTTTTTTGTTAATGTACATAAATAATTTTTAATCATTTTAAAGTTGTAAGTAGATTATATTGAAAGCATACAAACATTTCAATCTAGTTATGAGCAAGATAGTTTTAAAACTATATAATCTCCTTTATAATGTTACACTTATGGTAGCCTTGATAGGAATTGGTAAAATTTCTCCCAAAACAAAATATTTGCAACAATAGTGAATATAAAGGGAAGTACTTAATCTTTAGTTTAAGTCTATCTGATTTTAGAGTAAATATGACTGATTTAGGAGGCAGATTTCTAGTATTTCTATAATAAGGAGGTTTATTCCTATTTAGTGAATTCTAGAGAACAAGGTAGCAGAAAATGTTACATTTCTTAATGTAAATGTTAATCTAGAGAGGTGGAAAGTCAATTAAAATGATGTTGATAATTTTTAATTTTCCTTAAAAATATGGGAAAACACTTTGTAAAAAGCATACAGGCCTGTTTAAATGAAAAATTATGAAATTAAGAAAAAATGAGAGTATCCTTTAAGGTGTCTTGTCCTGCCTTTATTATTTATTTAATAGCAGCAAGAAGTGATTATATACATTTCATTCAGTTAAATAAACCATTAAATTGCTGCAATTTCCAAAGGGTCACTGAAGCAGAATTGGGTCATTTGTGGGACAGCATGTGATTATTTAAACCCAGTTTGAAAATGAAAAATGAGAATTTGCAGATCCAAAAATAGTTTTAGCAAGGAGTCATTATATAGCTGCAGACAAGCAATTTTGCTGGTAGAGGTATAGTTATTTACATTTAAATTTTAGGTACAGCACTTTAGCAGTTAAGGAAATGTATTGGGTTAGCCAAAAAGTCTGTATTGTTTTTTCCATAAAATAAGAGACACATTTTCACCAATAACTTTATTGATTTGAGTGTGTTAGCTATCTCCCTCATGGTATAATGTTGATTATTCTTAATTACTCTCTCGATTTCATTGCTGTCAACTTCAACTGGTCTCCCTGACCTTGGAGCATCGTCCAGTGAGGAGCCTCCAGCACAAAACTTCAAAACTTCTCAAACCACTTTTGACACGTTCAGTCATTCACGACACCTACTCCATATACTGCACAAATATTTTTGTTTCAGTTGCATTTTTACCTTTCTTGAAATAATAAAGCATAATATGAGGTCTGTCCAGAAGGTATCCAGACATGTCATATGAAAAATAGAGACATTTATAAAAGAAGATATAAGAAACATTATACATAGGACAATGATGCCTCAGTCCCCTTCAAAATAGGCACCTTGGGACCTCACACAGTTCTCCCAGTCTCCATCAGCTGCCCTGTCCTATTTTCCTGAATTTCATCAACAGTCCGAAATCTCTCCCCTTTAAAAGGTGATTTTAGTTTTGGGAAAAGCCAGAAGTTGTAGGGTGCTGTATCTGGGCTGTAGGGAGCTGAGACACTTGGTTGATTTGATGGATGTTTCACCAAAAAACTCTGCACAAGATGTAATACATGAGCAGACATGTTGTCATGATGAAGCTGCCAATCACCAGTTGCCCATAGCCATGTCCTTCTGAATAGTTTCCATGGAAGAATGTTCAAGCTTAATCCTAAATCTGACGTAGACTCGTTGGTCTACTCACTCAGTGATTTTGAAAGTGATGGCCACAGAGCAGACATACTCACTCAACCGCCACCACCACCCCCACTGGTTAGTACAGTGAAGGTGTTACTGTTCACGCATGCCCACTCTACTCCACTCTCCTTGGCTGCCAGGGTACATCAGTGTCCTGCAAACCATTCTCATCGTATGAACAGTGGCTGGACTTTTTCCAGACAGACCTTGTGTGCTGAAAATGTTACTTATTTTCTTCCATCTTCAATGTTAAAATGGCAACACAAAAATTCACCAATTCTGATAAGTATTTTTAGAATGCATGTTGATATGTCACAGCACAATCTAACAGAATTGTTTTGAATGAAGTTAGACACCTAAGCACTACCAGAACTCTCTTACAGAAAAAAAAAAACAAGGTTTTTGGCCAACCCAATATTTTAGAGCTTCTATAACCTTCCTACTATTTTCATAACTCTATTCGTCCATTTTAATGACATTTTGGTCCTTTAATAAAGGAATGGATAATCAGCTTTTCTGAATCTTGAATTTATTGATTCATATATTTTGCTTCAGGATAATTTAGTGATTATAAATACACACACATAATTGAGCATAATTTATTACCTATAATATTTCATTTATTTATGAATCTTATTTATATGTTTATGCTACTTTGGAGAAAATTAGTGATTATATAGATCTTTATTAATAATTATTTCACAGTGTCATATATATGTATATGTATATTCACTAATTTTTCTAAAGCAAAATTTGTATATGTCATACATTATTATATTGCATTATATATTACATTTTTATATATATTATGCCATTATGTTATCTATATTGCATATATAATAAAAATAAGTTCGCTGTATATAAATTACAAGTCATAGAACAAAATTCACTTATACATAGCCATTTAGCATTTGTAAAAACTTCACATGTCTCTCATTTCCTTAGAGTTCATTAAACGGATATTCACTGAGGACCTGCTATGTGCTAGTGACTTTACTAAGGGCAAAGTTTTTAACTGTGGCATTGTTTTTAATGATGGCATTGTGAAAGTAATTAAATGAGGGATTCTTTCAGTTACCGAGTATAACTGTGTATTAGGGAAGATATGTTCCAATGAAGATAAAAAGTGTGCACCTGATGGACCTTTCAAGAACAAAGGTTTCTTTCTCACCCCTAAATTGTGTCCATTGTATTGGCTAGCTGGCCTCCACATGTCTTTGCCCTGGGACTGGACTGTTGTCACAGGGTCTGGGAAAGGAGGTCACCTAGCCTTACAGGAGAAGAGAAAGGATATGGAGACGTGAGCTCACTCTAAGTCTGTGCTGAAGGGAACCTGGCTGCAGTGCCCACACTTCCCTGGCCAGAGGGAGGTGTGTGGTCCCTTTTAATTTCAACGGATCGGGGCATGAAGAACATTCTACTTCAGAGAGTTACCCAATATTCCGTTGTGTCCAGATAAAAGTGGAGTGCTGACAATGCTGCCATGGCTGGGAAACAGAAGAACTCCCCTTTTTATGCATCACTAGTATTTCAGTTTCTGTGGTGACAGTAGACTCCATTTGTGTTTCTCTTTCAGAGACTTGAGTAACAACCGGATAAGCACGCTTTCAAACCAGAGCTTCAGCAACATGACCCAGCTCCTCACCCTGTGAGTGTGACAGTGCGGTACCGAGTTTCTCATTAATTCACTGGGCACAGTGCATTTCCTTAGGCATTGGGCATTCCTGGTAAACAAGGCAGATAGTGCCTCTGCCCTCAAGGAGCGTAATGCTTGTTGGGAGAAACAGGCAAAGAATTACTCAATGAGCCAACAAATGCGGGGCATGGCAAAAAAAATGTTGGGTTCTGTAAAGCACAGAAAGAATACTGTATATTTGTGGTGGGGTGAGGAAGATCCTTAAGCAAGCATCTGGAGAGAGCGACTTCTGGGTGGGCATGCCCGGGCATCAGCACCCAGCAAGGGGAGGAAGTCCTCGGGACTGTGGTTAGGAGATAAATAAGTTCTATTAGTGGCACAATATAAATATTTTTTTTAAAATACGATGTGTCATTATTCTCGGTTTATAAGATGCTAAAATAAGCCTTTCATTAACTGCTTTATTTTAAAAATGATATTTGGCCTTTTGGGGATGCCTGGGTAAGACAAGTTGGCTTACATGTGCTTTCAGGATTCTCAGTTACAACCGTCTGAGATGTATTCCTCCTCGAACCTTCGACGGATTGAAGTCTCTTCGATTACTGTAAGCATCTTATGTTCAACCAAATAACTCTTTTCTCGGGGGTTGAGTCTAATGATTCAACTGCGTTGTTGATTCTTGGGTGTTTCAGATATATGCACTAGGATTTACTACAAATTTGGAAAATCGTATCTCCTTGTATTATTGTACAACTGATGTGGACAATATAATTTTCTCTTCTGTAATACTTGTTTTTGCTGTAGTTGTTCTATATACTATATATGCTATATATAGTATGTAGTATATTTTATATAGAGTCAACTAATTTTAAAAGAAATGTAGGAAATTTAGTGTCTTTACCAACTGCATAATATATGAACTTTAAATTATGTGAAGTAAATATGATTCTCATTCCCAACACCCTGCCCAAGAACTTACTGTTGTGCAATGGGATGTTCTTTTCTGGTCTTCCTGTACACACATTTTGTTTTAGATGATGAGAGAGGCATGCCTCCAGCTGTATACATTTTAGAAACCATACATAGAACTTGTTCTGCCACATCTTCACTCTCATATGTTCTACTCCCAAATTTTCATTGTTCTGTACAGCACTCTAAAGAACATCCTACGTGTTCCCTTTGGTGCGAATGTGCTAGAATTGCAGCGGTGACTTGAGGTCGGAAGTTACTGTCACGTACATGGGGAAAATACCAAAAATCACTGTCATGTTGTCCCGCGCACAAGATTTTGTCAACTTACAAATTTACTTTTCCCACCAACTATTGAATAGAGTTCCTGCTTTAAAGCACCCTTGCAAATATTGAATATTATCAATCTTTTTATTTTTGTCATGTGACAAATGGAACTTTGTTTTCCATTTCTGCTTTAATTTGCAATTCCAATTTCAAGAGCATTTGAGTATATTTTATTTGATTATTGAACATTGGTGCCGATTAATCTATGAGCCTGATCATATCATTTCCCAGTTTTGATTGGGTCCTTTTTCTTTTCCTTATTAATATGCATATCTTTATGCATCTACGATTTGGCTCCAAATGTACAGGTCTTTTCGCAGAGGAATTACTCCTTGTATCTTATATATGTTGCAAATATTTCCCATTCTGTCCCTTACATATAATCTTTCATGTTATATATATATTTTTTGTACTCAAAAATTTGCCACTCCTTTTTATTATGATTTCTGAGTTTTATAGAGTGCTTTCATTTACTACATTTTAGTTTTATTTTTACACTTAACTCTTCAATCTAGAATTTAATGTATGCGTATGATGTGAAGTAAGAACTAACTTTCTGCTTTCCGAAATAGATATCCAGTTGTTCCAATACTATTTGTTGAATAGACCATCTTGTCTGCACTGAATTGTAATGCTTATTATAGACCGAAGTTACATACATGCATGGGGATTTTTCTGAACTCTCTGAATCCTAGGAAATTTAATTTTGCTTTTCTCACTTTTAGTTCTTTACATGGAAATGACATTTCTGTTGTGCCCGAAGGTGCTTTCAACGACCTTTCTGCATTATCACACCTGTGAGTACCTAGTTCACCTTCTGGGTTTAGGTGTAAAACTGTGCCTGACAAGTGAGTTTGGAAAGTGCTTCACCTTTTATCGTCACATCTTAACATGTGATCAGCTTCACCTTTAGCAAAAATGTAAAGATTTTCAATATAGATATGTGGTACTCCACAAGATAGCCTTAATTTATTGTTTTTGCCCTTACTCCTGATTAGCTGAGTATTTCTTCTTCCAGACACGGCTTACCTAACTTCCTAGCTGATACCTTGTCCCTTGATGCTCTCTGATCCTAGAATATCGGCTCTCCTTCGATTCAGTCTCTTCAAATCCAACTTTGCTAAGTCATACCCCAACTATCACCTCTTCCATGAAGCCTGTCCTGATTTGCTGAAACAGGATTCATTTATTTAGCAAATATCATTCAACATTGAGTATGGCACAATGAGAAAATTAATTAGACACAATTCAAGACTTCATAGTGTGTGTGGTAAAGGGAAATAGCCCAAATCCTCATGCTGAGTGAAATGGTTTTCCTTTGCATCTCAACATTTCTTGGAAGTACCATTGAATATAGGATAAATGGGGTCCCAAAACTCACCTGGGTCAAATTCCATTATTCTGTTATTTGTAGTTGTACGTTAAGACCTTGGCAAACCTGGAAGGAAGTCAGGGGAACGGTCCTAGAGCCCAAAGCGTTCTGACATCAGGCTGAATCGGCATCTGCTGGGAGCAGTTCTCTGCTTTACTTTAAACCTCAGTGTCAGCTGGTTTCCAGTCCCCAGAAGAGGTTGCCTGCCCTGTTCACTCTTGGCTTTGCCCTTCCCTCCAGAACCCACCAAACCCCAGGAAGACGAGATGCGCAGAAACTGAGACGGGGTGGACAGAGGATAGGAGTTAGTGGGCAGTCGTGCTGCTGCATGGGAATTTGCCCTGTGGGGGCAGTGTTGTCAGTGTAGGCCTTTGTAGGCCTGACTGTTTGGGGCCTGCCCTTAGTGTTCCTTCCACGAACCTACTAGGTCCTGGGAGGCAACACCTTCATTGTTTTCATATTTGAGCCCCAGCACCTACCTCAAAGTCACGGTCAGGGCCGCTCCTCTGAAAAACTGCAGGGATGTCAGATGCCTGAGACACAAGGTTGATGAAAATAGGTACCTCGGGGTGTAGGACTGTAGCGCTGCTTGGCAGACGGAGCACCTTAGGGAGGGGCGTGACCATCTGTCCCCCTTAGGGCAGTGACCTGAAAAGGCTGCAGAGGAAAGGCGTGGCTGGAGCTGAGTAGGACTTTCCTTTGTGTGACTGCCCCCCAGTGGGGCGGGGGCGGTTTGAATCTTCTCTGCTATGTGTTCTAGGCAGTCACGTGTTTAATTTGTGCTTCTGTCTTTTACTCCCTACATTGTGAAGAGCTCTGCCCTAGTCATTTTTCCTCCTGTATCCCCTGACATAGTCAGGACTGAGAAAAGGCCACTAAAGATGAGTGCAAATGACTCAGAAACATCATTTTGCTCATTTTTAATCTAGAAGAAGGGTTTGACTCTGACACATAGTTGAGCATAACATGTAGTCCGATTTTTGGTTACAGTTGGGCTAAAATTACAATATAAACTATTATGGCTTTACAAGCATATTTTGATGGTTTTCTAATAAAAGAGTAAGATTAATATTGCTTAGACTGTAGACCTAAAATATGACTAATTGGAAGTTAATTATCCATCAGAGTTTCTCAGTTTTTAAATGCCACTTTATGTGTCTCTTGTGCCCATAGTTGGCAGTTTTACAAATCCATTGGTTAACTTCTTTGACTTCAGTTTCTTCATCTTCAAGTGGGATATTAATAATAAGAGGGATGCTACTTTGGATCAAGTGAGGGAATTCATGCAAATGAGTGGCTTAGCACACTTCCTGACTATTGGGGGTGCAGTCCATGTTGGCTATTGTCTCGATTACTTTCCCTGCCACCACCACTGCTGACGCGAGGAGGGACCAAAGCTCTAGATGAATCACTTTCTGAAGGAACATGCATCCAACTAAAGTCTAAATCAGCTCTGGTGGACTAGCTGTCTGCATCTTTAGTATTTCCTGTGTATTCTTATCTTCGTGCCTTTTACTTACTGGATTCCTACCCTGAAACACCCTTTCCAGCCTTTCCCACCTACTTGGTCATCTAAAAGCCTAGTCATTTTTAACCACTGCTCCCCGCACCCCCCCACCCGCCACCAGAGGACTTATCCTCTGTTCAGAGGCATCTTGTGAATAAGTATTTCTACTGGAGCACTTCTAAATGACACTTAGGGCACTTACGAGCATGTATTGCAGAAGGTAATCTTTGGAGTTAATGTGGTTTTCATATTTGGGTCCCCACAACCTAGCTAGTAATTGGGTTCTCATTCAACATTTGGCACATGAAGATGGGTGCAGATCTGCACCCAGTACAAGCCTGTCTCCGCAAATACCAGGGAACTGTCTGAACTTTAGGTCCCTAAAACACTGGTGACAGCTCACTAAGTCTCCGTTGCACACAACTCAGGAAGATGGGTAATCCCAATGCCACCATTTGCTTCTAAATTGTTTTTGTCCCCAAACCTACAGGGATTTTCTACGGAGCATCCCCTTTACGTTCCCTTAGAAAATAATACGTCCACGCTGTGTGTGTGTGCACGTGCGCTTCTGTCTTCCAGAGCAATCGGAGCCAACCCCCTCTACTGCGACTGCAACATGCAGTGGTTATCCGACTGGGTCAAGTCCGAATACAAGGAACCGGGCATCGCTCGCTGTGCTGGTCCTGGGGAAATGGCCGACAAGCTGTTACTCACAACGCCTTCCAAAAAGTTTACGTGTCAAGGTATGGCTTTTACTCCTGTGCATTTCTATAAATAAACATCTACCTTATGAGTTTAGAAAGAAAAAGAATACCATCTCCACTAGATTTTAGCTGCGAAGTCCCAGTGATGAGTTACTCTTTCCACCCACGCTTGGACAAGACCAGAGCGGCTACCTGCTGCGCCCAAGTCGAGAATTGGGCATTTCAAGTAAATTGCAGAAATAGTTCACTGGAAATTACTAAGTTTTCTTTCAAATGCATGAAGCAATGAAGAGTGCACAGCTTCTGGATATCCCTTCCATAGCTTCTAACGAGTAAAATGTTTTGCTTCTGCTTTGTCTTAACGTGTGCCCCGCTCCTAGGGCTGCCGGGGCCCTGTGGCGTCCTGACACCAGGTAAGGAGGTGAGCCCACCCGGGTGTCGGCCGGCCCTCCCCACTGGCCTCTCGTGCTGCCCCCTTCCTGGGACAGTGTGGGGTTTTCCTCCTTCTCTCTGTCCCCATGTTCCCCCTTGTTTTATGTATTTGTGAATTCAAAATAGCAGCTTAGTACGACATTTTTTGTCTTTATCATAAGAATAACATATGCCCAACATAAAAAAAATCTAAAGAAAAAATGTAAACAATAAGGAACAGTTTATTCCTGCAAAAACTAAAATGAACCATTAATCCCAATCCCTAGAAATAACCACTGTTGAATTTGTTTTTGTATATGTTTCCATGTTTACTAGTCAAAAGTATGGATTTGGATTTTTTACCAAACATGCAATAGGTTATTATTCTTGTAGATCTCCACCTGTAATTATTAAATGGAGGAAGTTCTTGAAACTTCCACATGTATAATCAGCCAGTGTTTATTCAACATGTCTTATGTGTAAAACTAAATCCTAGGTACCATGGAGCACGCAGACGTTTATGCTATGCTCTTGCCTTGCAAGGCTGGCAAACCTGGCTGAGCAGAGAAGCCCCAGCGTTTGCACACCCGGGCAGTAAAGCGTGTCTGAGTGGGTGCCGCTGTGCAGTGAGGGGGTCCCAGCATGAGTGCTGAAGCCCAGCCTGACCGGTCCTGAGCTGGGGACTGGCCTCTCCATTCAGTGGTTATGGAGCTTTTGTAGTTTAGCTGCGCTGTGCCTCCACTTTCCCATATGTGAGCAAGACAATGGTAGTACGTACCTAAAAGACTTTAACATTAGATGGAATCATTGTAAAAAGCCCAATTTATATGAACCAAGGGTAGAATGGTGGCTGCCAGGGGCTGGGGGAAAGGGAAGGTGGGCAGCTGGAGGTCAAAGTGTTCAGACTTTCAGTTTTGAGAGTTGTGAGGATGGAGTGTTCTGTTTGGTGACAGCAGTTAATAATACAACATTGTACGCTTGAAAGTTGCTGAATAGATCTTAAGCATTGTCACCACACACACAAATGTTAACTAGGTGAGGTGGCAGGTGCATTAATTATCTTAATTCCACCTCGTATATGTATTTAATAATTATATTGTACACATTAAATATGTACCAGGATATTTGCCACTTATTATTTTTTAGGATATCTTTTTTAAAAGATTTGATTTATTTATTTTTAGAGAGGGGAAGGGAGGGAGAAAGAGAGAAAGAGAAACATCAATGTGTGTTTGCCTCTCAAGTACCTTCTACTGGGGACCTGGCCCACAACCCAGGCATGTGCCCTGACTGGGAATCGAACTGGTGATCCTCTGGTTTGCAGTCTGTCACTCAATCCACTGAGCCACACCAGCCAGGGCCATTTATTCTTCAATAAATTTGGAAAAATATATTTTATATAATATATGTAAAACATGTTACCATATATACACAGGAAGTGCCAATGCAGGTTAACTACTAATTTTATTATTATAACACTTCAAAAGACCAACAAAAAAATGATGAGGGACTGCGCATGATTTATTGATTAAAGAAGGAATTTTCAAAAACTATATTCCCTCCAAATATTTCTAACTTGGCATCTAATGCCTTATTTTCCATAGCTATAAATGATTGCAAAATATGACATTTGTAGTGCACTGTGAAGTTTTGACATTTAGAACAAAACTCTTCCATTATTCTTTTCAATGTATTTGGTGGAACCTAAATATAACAGCTAATTTTAAAAGACAAAAACAAGATCCTTCTTTTTTCCTTGAACTTCTGTTCTTCTCCTTGAATTGCTATTTCCAGTACCTCAGAGAATTGTACCATTCTTTGTTACAAAAACATTTATAAAAATTAAATTTTTAAATTTCCTGCCACCAAAAACCTGTGAGTTTTTAAATTTTCCTTTCAACCAAATTATTTCCACTAATACTTGAGTCATTGACTGGGACACCCTTGATTGAGATGACATAATTCTTCACCCGTGTTTTAATATTGTTATTGAAAATTGAAAGTAGCCTTTTATTGGAAATACCTCTCTGGGGTTATGTGCATCAGTTGCACGGCCCTTTGCAAATAACTGATATTTTACCTTGTTCTTTGTGACTGTAGCAGTGTCCTTGGGCCGGTGCCCTGTGGTGAGTTTCCGGGCAGAGAGGACCTCAGTTCTTTGTAACGTGGGGGTGATTGTCAACGGGAAGGAGAAACGGCCGCGCACACCTATTCTCCGGAATGTTATTGGGCGGGATAGTTGAGCAAGTTCGTGTGGGGAAAGTTGAGAACCCTCACATTGGTTCTATGACGCCTTTCTGTGCTCAAGGATGAATGTACTCTTTTTTTTAAATGCTAGGGCTTATCTGTAGTTCTTAGAGTTGGGAGTTTCTTGGAGATGTTTTTTGAAATCATGGTAACAGTTTGAAAAAGCTACATATGTATGTTCTGTTCTCAGAGCATCGTGGTTCCCCTTAGCTTGTTCAGTGTTCTCAGAATTCAAATGCATGCATGTACGAGGGGGGACCCAAAAAATGCTAAAATTGTTTTGTCAAAATTTTTGTATTTATTCTTGCACATTTAAACTTCAGCCCCCTTCAAAGTACATTCGATGCAATACACCGATCAGACGTTTTTTTCAACTGCACAAAACAATTTCTGAACGCCTCGATTTTGATCCCTTTTAGTGCTTTTGCAGATGTTTGTCTCGTATCAGCAAAACACATCTCCCTTTGAGGACCTTTTTAATCCGGGGAAACCGTGTATAGGATTTTACTGCAGATTTATAGGGTTTTAACCCCCTGTCGTCTCATGACCCTCTTCGCCCTGCCAGTGAAGCCAGAGAGATGCCAGCAACTTGATGGTGTCGATGGCATCCCTTCGTTATCTGTGCTTGCGCTCTCCTCGCCCTGGACAGTGGTGGCCACTGCTCCTCCTGGCACATTCTCTTGGCCTTTCTTCATTCCTAGGCTGACCCCTCTTACCCCTTCTCTAATATTGACATGCACGGGGTTCTCTCCTTGGCCCTATTAAATTAATCGACTTCAACCTCATGGCCTCAGATATCTAGCCATGACTTTTCTTGTGAACTCCAGATTCGTACTCTCAGTCACTCAGTAAATTCCTCCCCCTGGATGGCTTGTAGAGACACCTAAAACCTATTCCAAAACATACATTCACATTACCCACATCCTCTTACCATTATGTCCTGTAGTTGATACAAGTAGGTCTTACTGCTGAAGTTTAATTTTTCCCTAGAAACTCAAGCATTTCACTTGGCTTCGAACCCCTAATACTTAGTCTAGTGCCTAGCAAAAACTAGTCCCTTGATAAATATTTGATAATTGAATGACAATGATGGAATGTTAAAATATGTCACTGATATCCACACTTAATAAATGCAATAATGTAAGTGCACGTTGGGTGTAGAATCTTTGGTGTTAAGTAAAAACCTCCTCTTGGTTAATTATGCCCAACCTCAAACATGCCCTATGATTTTTCCGAGCTGTCTTTGACAAACTTCAGACTCCTTACAAGGTCAGTGCTAGAGGATTTTGTTATTTGACTCATGTTTCCAAGGGATGCCAGAATGAAGGCAGGCTCTGGGATATAGTCAGAAATTTGTAGGCAGCTTTTAGTCATAAATCAAAGTGAGATACAATTCTCAGTGGGTGGCGATACTGGTGTCAGGTGCGTAGCTAGTGATTTGAGTCAAGTAAGCAAGTCTGCCTGCAAGCTTTAATGGATTGGAGGTCCGGCAGTTCTTCCATTAAAGATTAAAGTAACTGACAGAGACAAATTGTTAACCAAACCTTCTCCTCATTTTCCCTTTGAATTATTAAGTTAAACACACCTCCAATCCAGATAGCTGAGGCTAGAGGGCTCTCTTAAATCAAGACCAAAACTTCAATCAGTCTATTTAGCCTGCACTGGCCTCTTTTACTTAAGTGACGTCAGTGAAAACCTGTGTGCCTGGAGCTAGGTTGCTTGTCTTCTCTACGGCGCACATCGTTGGAGGGCTGTTGTTTTGGAAATACTTTAACAAGTCTTGCAACCAGTTTACTTTGGAAAGGAAGAAAGACTGAGTATCAGCAAAGGTGCATCGAACCAAGCTGCAGTTTCTTAATTAAATAGAATGCAAGAAGAAGAGAGACCTTCTCCTTTTCGGTGCTGTACTGTTATTTCTGATGGTGGTCCAGACCAGATTTGCAAATCAAAGCTGCAGTCTTAAAAATACAAAATCATTAACTGTGTGTTGTTACCCAATGGGTAATTCTCTGTCAGCGCCCACTGACTCTCCTCCACAGTCTTGATGATAATGGCCGTGACCGTCTTCCCAAATTTGAGCAGCGCCTGGCATGGACAGGAGGCTAAATGACCAGCTCTGTTTTGCCCGTGTCTGTGTTCCATTTGGGCAAACAAGCAGAGGTAGACAGTGTTTCTCCTTTTTGGTAAACCACACGTGCTTTCCCCATCACCCTCCCTTCTTTGGAAGTCTAGGAAGAGTGTCAGAACTTGCTGCGGCTCTGTGCGAGCTCTCACTGTTTTCTGTGCTCAAGCATTCATTAGCATCTCATTTAATGCTTAAACCAAGCCCTTGAGATGGCTGCCAGTATTCTCCTAACGCCACACACTTAAGTGACAAATCTAGGTTGCTAATTTGGGCTGATGGACTTCAGAGTTTCTGTCCAACATTATCATGCATTATACTAAAAGACTTTTCTAATTCCTGCCCCTTAGACATCTTTTCCCTGGGGACTAATCAAGTTTGCACAGTTCAGCAAGTGTTGGCTTGCCTCTAGAGAGCTGTGCAAACTCTTCCCCATTTCATTTTTACTTTTTTAGCATCTCCCTTGAACTCCGATACTATCTCCTTATTATAGAAACAGATTCAAGATGTCATTCCTTTTGAATACAAACTCCGCAGGAGAGGATCTCAGAGAAAATGTCCTGGGTGGAAAATGAATTATAAGTTGGAGGCTAACAGAAGACAGAAGATAGTCTTGAAAGAGGAGCCAACTATGGGTGGGCAGATGAATAAGAGGAGACACTCAGATACAAGGGACAGTTGACCCTTGAACAACATGAGTTTGGTCGGTGGGTCCACTTACACAGGAATTTTTTCCCAGTAAATACCTCGTGCTGTTTTCTGCCTGCAGCTGGGAGTCTGAGGTTGCAGAGAGGAGACTGTGTGCGGTGACCTGCCCGTTTTACGGATGGGATTTCATCATGTGCATTCACTGCAGGTCCTGGAACCAACCCCCCACAGTTACGGAGAGACAGTTTTAAGTTTGGGGAGAATCAAAAGTATCTGTGGATTTTCAACTGCTCGGCGGGGTTCAGTGCCCCTAACCCCCCAAGTTGTTCAAGGGTCAACTGTAGTTCCAGTGGATTAGAATATAAAAATAAAAAGATTTAGGTAAACCGTGTAGGTGTATAAATCACATCATAAGAAGGATGTTTAGTTGGGTGGATTTGCAATCAGAATAAATCAGGAAAGGGAATTAAGGTGTTTGGACATATCGGAGGATGCTGCTATTTGGAATTTATGTAACTTGCAAACACCTTTTGAATTGCCCTTTTCTTAAACTTGAGTACTAGGAATAAATAATTATCATTGAAGCACTGATTTTCGAAGAAGGATTTTTAAAAAGGAGAAGCAAATAGGATGCTACGCATTGTAATCCACTTTACCAACCCAAAGGAGTTCGAACTGAATAGTTTGCTGTATTCGCCAATCTTGATGTCGCCAAAAGGGTTCGTGGGTTTAAGAAATTGTCAGAAGAGGCCTGCGTACATGGTAAATGTGATTATTTTGATTCCTTTCGCTACACTGAATGCATTCAAGAGGACAACGATCCCCCTTTGTATTCTAATAAGAATTTCCAGCTAGAAAATAATTGAGCAGGTTTAGCTATATTGGAAGTCAAAGTAGAGAAATTAGATAGTGCTTATTAATCAGATATGGTTCAGTGGATAGTTATTAAATAAATCTTTACCGTTCGGTAAATTGGACAGGCACTGTTTCAGCCTGGCAATTTGGTTACCTGCCTATTCTATTAAATTGTTCAAAATGTGCCCATGAATCCAGGGATTTTTTTTTCTAAAACAATCTCTAGCTTCTCATTTAAATAATCAAACATAGTTTTCAAAAGCTGTCACATTCCAGAGAATACACTTAGAAACGGTCCACCCTGAACTCCTCTATTGAAACCAGCCTTACAAGGTTGAAGGCCCAGAAATAGACAAAAAGACCATCTCTGTCAAGGCCTTGGGCAGCGACCAGGCGGACGTGTCCAGCCCTTGCACTTGCTGACGCGCCGTTCTGCTGTGTGCATTCTTAGCTGCTTTAGCTTACGCCTTTGTTCAAAATTAGATTTTTTTTCTAGCCTAGCTAAAGGATCCATTACCAGTTAGGTATTTTCTTTTCTATTGCTGATTCTAAGTGTGATAACTCCAGCAAATACAAAGCCATTTATTCTAGACTATTACAATAATTTAACTTGTAGCTTGAACCTAACTGCCACTATTCATTTCTGCAATATTCTTAATAGCTAAACTATTGTTCTTAATTGATCAATAAGTTGGGAGGGGTGAGTGATTGAATTTCTATGAGGATTGCTTCAGTGTTAATCCCAGGAATTTTCCAGCTGTTATTTGATACAGAGACCGCATTTGTTGTTTTGATTACCAAGAAAAACGGAAGGGGACATTGGCAGGGCCTCCCTTAATGCCTGCGGGTCACTAGGTGCAAACACTACGCCTTCTTAGCGCTTCTTAGCAGAACTGCCATCCATTTCAAGTGGTGAAAAAGCAAGAGACATCTCTATATTTCAGTGTTTTCATTAGCAGGAAAACTGAATCATATAGAAAACGATCCTGTTTTAGATTTTACCCCAAAACCATTATATGTGAATGGGCTGGCATTTCCCGGGGCAGGGGGGTGGAATGCTGAGCTATGCAGTCTTCATGGCCACCCTTTCTCCCTCACATGAGTTTCCGTCAATAGTCTAAAATCTCACGGGCATGAACTCTGATCTGTAGAGAAATGAAAAGGAGTTTATATGAGCAGAAGTCACACAACTGCTGGGCTGGAGGTCCCTTAGAAGGGTACAGCGGTCACATGCTATGCAATTGACTTGGTAACTTTGCCAGAAAAGATGTGCGATCAAGCCCTGGCTGGCGTAGCTCAGTGGATTGAGCGCGGGCTGTGAACCAAAGTGTCATAGGTTCTATTCCCAGCCAGGGCACATGCCTGGGTTGCAGGCCACGGCCCCCAGCAACTGCACATTGATGTTTCTCTCTCTCTCTCCCTTCCCTCTCTAAAAATAAATAAATAAATCTTTAATAAAAAAGATGTGCAATCAAAAGTGCAGCTGGAAGGATTGTTGCTGTTTCAATGAGGATAACGTATTTCAGGGAGACTGGCGATAGCAGAACCAAAATTAAAATATTTGTGTTTTATACCTAAAGATGTCACCTTGACAGAGTGTCCTCATCTGACAGATGCCAAAAGGCAGTCCAGCGAGCTCTCACCAACAGTGCAGAGAGCAGTGTGGGGGGAATGTGATATTTTGGAGGATGGAACAATTGCTACACTAGTAGCCATTTGTAGATGAAATATGTGGAAGCAAAGGAAAATGGCTGCAATGAAATCGGCATTTAATCCAAACCTATTATAAACCTCGGATTTTTTAAATGTATTTTCCAAAAAGCGGGATTGCAGGAAGAGGTCATTTCGATGGAAAGTCCTTCTGGGAGAGGAAGATAAAGACATTTCCCCTATTGCGTGCCTATGCTAATGTGCCGACACACTGAACCAAAAGGGTGTCAGGGAGGATGTAACAGATCCTTTGTAACAAATAACCCTTTGTGGTTTATTTCCGCATGCGTAAAGGTGGTGGTGTTTTGTGTCTCCTGGATGGCATAACGCTACTGAGCTAATGTTGTTGGGGCAGGTGCATACTATTTTATATTTAATTGATGGATTTATGTTTTAACGGATGAGTTTCTACTTATTCATAAAATTCACCGGCCCATGGCCCAGTGTGCACACACACGCTCACACAGTCCTCTCTGGGATGGTTGACGTGCATGTCCGTGACAGCTGGCCGAGTTTAAGGTGCAGTCAGTCCCGTGGAACTCAACCACAGAAGCTGGTCGTCCGTGAGGGGATTGAGCCTATGACATGGGCGTCATTAGCCCCAGAGACTAACCTCTTAAATCAAAACCCAGAGCCCCACTGTGACGTCAGGGAGTCTCCCCACCCCTCTCAGGGAGAAGTCTGCCTGTGACACTCTTGAACCTCATGTGATAATGCTGATTTCTGGTTTTGTCATGCAGGAGACTTACCTACAGATATGTGACCAGTGACTTTTATACAAAATGTACTGTGACACTAAGGCATTGAAATAACTTTAAGTAAACTAAAATCGTACCAGTTTCTCATATTCTTTATTAATTGCAGGTCCCGTGGATGTGACCATTTTAGCTAAATGTAACCCCTGCTTGTCGAATCCGTGTAAAAATGATGGCACCTGTAACAACGATCCAGTCGACTTTTATCGCTGCACCTGCCCTTATGGTTTCAAGGTAAGTGGAAGCTGTGATAGGAGCCGTGGCCTGAAAACGTGCTTCCTCTGGTGGGTCTGCCTTCGTGTGTTGTGCAGACGACTAACACTTGATTTGCACTCAACTCTGCTCGGCCGTTCCTTCTCCAGGGGCAGGACTGCGATGTCCCGATTCACGCGTGCATCAGTAACCCGTGTAGACACGGAGGGACCTGCCACTTGAAAGAAGGAGAGAAAGATGGATTCTGGTAGGTCATTCATCAGTCTGCGACCTGTGTCAGGAGGATTGGAGCAAGAAGCCAACAGGCATTTTCTTTTTCAAATCCAGGAAGATTATTTTTAAAAGAATGCCAGAAATCTGTTCATAAGGACGTCACGTATGAGTCCCTCTCTGAGATATTGCACTATAAAAACAAATGAAGATGTTACAGTAATTTCAGCTCAGGAATCTACAAACATCAGGAAATTTGCACATGCACACATTATGATTAATCAAGTTAGATTAGTTCAAGACAAAGTGGTGGCTCTATTATGCTAATTAATAGCCAGCTAGCCTCCCACTGCAAGTCATATATTCATCTGTTATCGTGTGTATTGCTTAAAAGACAGTGTGTAGGTTCCACTGAAACAGAAAATTAATGATTCCTTTCCAAGCCCCAATATGAGTAGAAAACCATGCTGTGAACATTTTTAATCTGGAGTTATTTAATCATACAGTACAATTACTTCAGATGTACTTCATGAATTATGAAATAGAGTTCTTATAATGACACTAATAATTTCACATATGAATGCTAATGTACTACTAAAGCTTATTAGAAATATCACTTTTTATAATAAATGGGCTTTATTTCTGCATTCTGTTGTGAAATTGTCTCTTTTTCATCAAGGCTTTTCAAAGATTATTCTGATGCCTATCAAGATGAAATGTGCAATGCTTTATGCCAGTGAAAAAAATTGCATTTGTTGAGATGTAAAGAGAACATTCACATTTTATAATTGCAAGGAACAAAAGGTTTTCTTTTCTTTTTTTGTTGGTGTTTACTTTGAGACATCAAGAGCATTACACATAAGGAAGTGGGTGTCGTTGTTTTTTTTAAATCAGAACCAATTCCTCCTCACTTATGAACAAAGAAGCATGAATTGTTTTATTAGAGCATCACTTGAGACTTACGTAAAGTTGCTTGTGTTTTAGATCTGCAAGTGTATTGCATTTACTGACTCATAGGGCCGTGGGGCCACTTGCCATCTTGCAGCCAGAATTGATTGCTTTTCCAAATTGTTTCTGACTTGGAGGATATTACCTTAAATTGATGCTTACAACATGTCACTTAAAAGCATTTTAAAAATCAGTTTCTTGTAGTTAAAAGTTCTGTGATTCATGAGTGTACGTAGGTTTTCCCCCAATATTTAGACCATATGGTTTTAAAATGCGGGGGGGAGGGTATTTTTATTTGTTTTGTTTTGATTTTTTTACTTTCTTCCCCCTTTGGCGGGCAGGTGTATTTGTGCTGATGGATTTGAAGGAGAACATTGTGAAATCAACGTTGATGACTGTGAAGATAATGACTGTGAAAATAATGCTACATGTGTCGATGGGATTAACAACTACACATGCCTTTGCCCACCTGAGTACACAGGTAGGAAGAAGTGGAAGTGGTCAGCTGTCAGTCCGTGTTTATCTGAACACATCACGGGCACTCCGCTGCATGTGTTTAGTAAACCACTGTATTGTGTAATAAATGCTAGGTGTTTGAGAAATTAGATGTAGTGTCAATAACAGATGGCGTTAACGATGTTCTCAGCCAACCCAATGAAAGACCCGCCAAGCTCAGTTACCTGTCATGCCATGCTCTCCAGCAAAAAAGGAGTTATCATACTGAAGCTATTAGTCTCACAATTGAATGACATTGCTATACAAAGCATGTTTCCTGTGCAACGCAGCCCACTAATATATATGTGAAAAGAGGCACTTCTTTACCTAGTCAAAACATAATTAAGCATTTGAGATTGTATCCATTCTTGTTCTTCACTAATGAGTTATTTTTTCCTCTAGTAACTAATATTCTTTAAAATAAAATACAAATGGGGAAATATTAAGCACTTTGAATAATCTTATGAGAACATCACCTTTTTTCCAACATTTTCTTTCTTGGGATGATAAATCTCCTAAGACTATTCAACCTTATTAACTTCTTCCCTGGATAAATCCATTTGCTATAAAGTCAACATCAAGTTTATAACTTGACTATTATATAAGACTATCTATTTTGATTTATTTTTGTGGCTATAAATAAGAAACTTCATAGTTACAATCTTATTTTCTTAATAAACCACTTAGTTTTAATTATGATACAGAAGGAGAGAATGTCATACATTTTATTCATAAGAAAAAGTGGAGCAGTAGTTTCTGTCACTCTATTTGAAGTTACCATTTTCATTTTGCTGGGTATTTTTCATTAACTGCATTTGTTTTCACATAATTTAATACATAGTTAAGAGTATCAGAGGGTAAAATAACTATGTAGGTGGCAAAGGTCAGCACCTCTAAACATGAAAGGTGAAAGCACAGCCATCTGATTCACTGTCTCAGGGAATTGTTGAGTAACCATAGAAATTTAAGCTTTCGTGGGATACCCAAACTTGGCATGTCACTCAGCACCTTTCTTTATGGTAAAAGGATAGGCAGAATAACAGGGTTTTGTTTGGACACCCAGGTCTGCACAAGGGCTGTGAAGGTGCCTTCCATGGCAGGACGTTTCATACCAGGGAAGCACCTGGTACCATATAAAGTAACACACTGCGTGTCCAGTAGAAATAAGAGCACGTTGTATTTACCAGTCTCTCTATTACATATTTGTAGCCCTTGGGCTCCCTCAGAGGCCGAATTTGAGCATTCTCTGATATTTGTGTTAATGAAGGACAGCAAGTCTGTTCAGCATGCACAGATAGATGCTGAAGTCCTTGGAGCTCCCCCCGGAATGGAGTTTTATTGGATGGGCTCGTTTAGACCTGTGTAAGAAGCCCAGTGTCTGCACTAAACCCTGTTACCTACATTCACCTAGGTAGAATAGCTCTCTTTTCCCACCGTTGTTCTAATCATTATAGTAGGAACTTAAGTCACTCAATCTTGGAGGTCTTTTTGAACCCATATATTCTGACCAGGACAAATTGGACCGAGGCATGTCAAGCACACCTTGCCTAGCCGATGAGACCCAGGTGCACAGCAACCAGGAATCGGTCTACACCCCCTTTGCGGTGACAACTACAGAAGGTGGCAGACTCTTCTGAGTTGGTGTGGAGGGTCCTCCTGCCTTGGCTTCAGACTTGCTGTACCTTATTCCTTATCCATTTCTCTGGAGTCTTTGTCTTATCTTCTCATTTGTCACGTTCCAAGCTCCCTTCTTCCACCCAGTCCTCTTGACCCCATGTTTTCTCCCCGCAAAAAAGATTCCGGTCAGTGCAGCCTCCTCTGAGAAGTATTTACAAAGCCTCATCTCTCTGTGCCAGATCTCTTTCTTTGAAACATCTGAAAGACTCAAAACTTAGCAAAACTACTGTTTAGCCAAAATGGGACATCTACAGACGCTGTCGTGGGGGAACTTGCCAAGACTATCTGTCAAGGGCCATTTAGCTCTCCAAAGGGACTGAAACTCCTTCAGTCTTCTTAAGCATAGCTATTGCAAATATCAGTTGCCTTGATTTCGGCAAAGTATAAACAAAAATACTGAGCTCAATAGAAACTTAAGAGCATGGAGATATTTCCGCTGTAACTGCGAGCTGAGTTTTGCGGGCCATGAAGAGTCTGACAATTTGGCATTAGAGCAAATATCTAAACGAGGTCCTTTTGTAACTCATCTATAAACTATAGCATTTGTGTCCATATGTGAAGTGAGCTCATTTACAAAATATCAAACAACCATCTGCAGATTTTGCAATCAGGGACACCTAGTGGCCTTTAATTATAGGAAAATATAAATTGGGCTCTGGAGTTTCATGTCCTCCTCCATCCAAGTCTGCAGTGAGGGAGGAATTTTCTTATAACGTGGCTGTATTCTTTTAGAGCTACGTTTGGAGTCCGGTTAATGAGCGTGAGATCCAGGGACAGAAACCCTGTACTGCTCAGGGAATATAATAATGTTGTCATTGTTTAAAAATCATTCAAGTCACAAGTTGCTTTCTGTTTGAAGATTTTTACTCCATACCCCAAAGGCATAAATGAAAATTTGAACTCCTTAGTTGGAACAAATAAAACCTCATGGAAAAAGCTTGTAAAATATTATGGGGAAAGCTTTTACATTTGGCATCCACGGCAAGAGTCAGAATGGACACACTGTCGTTAATGGAGGAAATTCAGGGATTTGATTGAGGTCGGATGGAGCAGTCCTTGTGTGATGGGCAGGCTCTAAAACACAACTACGAATATTCCGAATAAAAGAACCCGCCACTGGAAAATTTATTAAATTTATTGAAGCACTGTGGCCAGCACATCACAGGAAATAGTTATTGATTTATTAGAGAACAGAGCTATCTGCTCTTTTCTGCTGCAGGGATTAACAACATAAATTTTAAGGGCCAGTATTGTTCTTCGATGATCTAAGTATTGTTGTGCTTTCCCACGCTAATTATCAAAACTGTTGTTTTCTGTTTAATTCATTATTTGTTCCAGTTGTATGATATACAAATACATAGTTGCTGATTGCTGATAGTCTTCATACAAAATTAATTGTTGAGAAGTTTAATTCAGTACGCTTGTAAATTAAAATCACTACACTCAGGACTGAGTATAATTAATTTTTGAAAAATTCAATTCAGTATTATTTTAAATTAAAATCACAATGGTAAGGATTGAGCAAGTATGACTCCAGAATTGCTAAATAAAAAAAAAATTAACATTTACTTTAGGGTTTTAATTTTAGCTTAAGAGATTGCAGTTTTGATTTTTTTTATTTAAAAAATCAATGATTTTATCCTTTCTAAAACCAAGGTATTTCTTGAAGGAAAAATGTCAAGGAATTCCTGAAAATATATAAGCTCAAAACGTATAAAAATGAAAATCACAAATACAGCACCCCTGCCATGTTGAAAACTTGATGCCTTTTCTTAAAGTCTGGTGTGAATGTAGGTGTCAAATTGGAAAATGTGTTTTTGCATGATTCCTAAAAGTCCAAACCCTGGATCTACTTGGTCAGACTATGTTTTTGAAAGAACCCTATTCTCATGGGACCACATACAAAGATGATGCACAGTCGATCACAGTGTAACCCATGGTGTCACTTAATGAGCTCACAGAAATTCAGTAAATGAAAGTTTCCATCCCAGCTGGGCATGTAAAGATGTAGAATACATTTTGTGGAGAATATTCAGAACTCTTTGTTTCTACCTTGTGCCATTACCTCTTTGTTTTTCCAAGTCTCCAATGCCCACACACAAACCACTAAGTGCACATGTTAAAAAATAAGGCTGGTGGTTAAGTCACCTGCTTTAGACGCAGCTCTCTGGCTCCCCGCGACAGGCTTTGCCTGTTGCCTTGTTTCCTCCGTGTCTGTGCGCTTGGCCGGCCGTAGGTAAGACATGGAAGCCTCGCTTCACTTTGCCTTCTCGCCCTTGGCCTCTCTGTTGTTAAATGCATTAGCTTCCTGTGCTCTGCTGTTGTATCGCAATGTAAAAAGTCTTTTGTCTCTTCTGTCTTTGTCGCTGCCAGCTGCTAATCTGAATGAGGTGGAAAAAGGTTAGTTGCCTTTTAAGTCTATTATGATTTTTTCGTTTCTGTTTCCCTCTTTCTTTTAAAGATTTCATTACTGTTGGAATGTTGACATGGTAAAAGGAATGGTGACAACATCTCAAATTAATGTGTCCAATCAGCCAGGCAGATCTCGGGTGGATGAGTAGCTGTGCCAAACGCTATAAAAAGGGCGTCTGAAATGCGCTTTCCCAGTTTCTAGAAGGCTGTGGAAGAAACCTCCTGAGTGGGAAGAAGGGTGGCCAAAAAGAAAGACTAACAGTTTCTACTTTCTACTTTTCTGTGTGCTTTTACTTTTAAAAAATATTGTGTATTTTATTAATTATGCTTTTACTTTTTTAAAGATATCATGAACATGAATTATTTTTACAATGAAAAATACATATCATTTATAGTACATCAGATAGGGTATAGATAGAAAAAATGTTTCTATCTATAGTGGGAAAAATGTGGGAAACATTCTACAGTGGGAAACATTTTTCCCACTATTGAAGTGGGAATTTTTCAATAACATTAAACTAATATCTTTAGTAATTTGAAACAGGAGAAATATTGAAAAGTGTATACATTTATTAGAATATTTTCGAAAGTAAATATTATAAAACCCAAGAGGTTGACTTATAAAATGACATTGTCATATTCGTATTATATTATATCATGAATACTGTGCAGTATTTTTAAAGCATAAGAACTGTATTTAATCATTGATATCAATATGGTCCACCCAGCTCCCCAAATACATCAGGGGCCAGGAAAGGAAGTCCTAGAACTGATTAAGGCAGTAGGCACATTCAAGGAATCATTATGGAACCTTTGTGAAATGTTATCTTGAAGATTTAGAATTAGTACTAATAACACTGACTGGGTTTTCACTCATTCCATTGACCAAAAGTCTTCAAGTGCCAGGGGCAGGCACAGCACCATGTAAGGAGCCCAACACATGCTTGTCTTGACAGCTGCGGTTGTGTGTGAAGCATTGGTACTAAGAGTACACAGTTGACGTAGGTACGTTAGATGGCAGCTCACCCTGTCCCCTCTTGCTAAGAACTTCATTTCCTTCTGTTGCATTGTTCGGGTGATTTGCTGTGTTTGGCCACTTACTCTTACTAGGTGCGGAATTAAGTTGAAAAACTGGTTTCATAGTTTAAAAATGTAAAAATACAGCCTGGTCAATTCTCTGCGGATTGATGAGTCCAATACCGTTTTTAGTCAAATGTCATCCCTCCCATTTACAAGCACTAAAGCAGCTGGCGGTCGGAGGCAGGGATGCCCAGGGTCTGACTGTGTCTCAGAAACATGATAGCAATTACTCTGTCCTAGGAATGTGCCCTTAAACAGCTCCATATATTCTCAGGGGCCAGCTTGGCGGTGTGATAGTGTTTTAAATCACCACGTGGTTTTGTGTGTTGACTACATTTCCTCCTCATGTTGTAAAAGATGTCTTTTATTTCCGAGAGTCCGCTACTGACTGAATTTGCTTTTAAAAGCAGTCAAACCATTCTCTATTTTTTAATCCAAAGCTTAACTAGAAATGAAATCCCAACTTCTTGATAACATTGAGGGTAAATTTCTTAAATAAAAAGAGGTTCTGTCATTAGCTGGGATATGGTTAATTTTAAAAATTCCCGTAGATATGAACAGTAAGGATTTGAGCAATAACTTGTACAAAACAGTGAGAAAACACTTACCCAGGGATTCATACCCTGTAAAAAGGGGTCCAGATATGAGCCTCAGTCTAACTGACCCCAAGGCATGCACGCTAACTTGGGGGCTTGCACTGGAACCAGTCCCCCCTTGCCTGCTGTCCTCCAGCCTCAGGATGCTCGTACACCCCACAGGGGCTCCAACTAACCCGTGGTGCCAAACAAGCTCTTCTTTTGCTGTCCCTTCAGCTTGCCACACAGACTGGCCCCTTTTGTGCGTTTGAAAAGAGTAAAGGTAGCTGCAAAATTCAGGTGTAGGCAAGCAATCTGTTTTATTTACACATGAGAAAAGCAAGAAAGAGTCTAATCAATGCCTGTATAATTAATTCATTAATGTCCCTGATGACTAGACTACTCTCCCTCACTGAGGGCAGGTGGGATACTGGTGAATTTGCATAGCTAATGGGGAAAGCTCAGGTGTCTCATCCTAATATTTATCAAGTCCAGGACCCCTCCCAGTCTTGTTTATTTTTGTTTTTCCTGCAACGTAGGGATAACGATATTTTCCCAACTCATAGATATTTCAGAATTACATGGAAGAACATGTGGGAAAACACTTTAAAATGTTACATGCCTATTGCTGCAACCAGCGTGGGGTGGGGGTTCCTGAGTGGGGTCAACGGAAGATGAAGAAAAGACACAACACAGATAGTTTAAGGAAAAACAGGGACCAGGTGGGACATTGTCCTCGGGTGGAGAGATAATGAGCCCTGAACATGGTAACCACGTTTATTTTATAGGGGTAGGTTAGATACAGCTCAAGGATGTTTTACAAACTTAGGCAGACACTGCAGGCACAGACTATTGCATTCCCAAGCTATCTAACTGATACATGTGTCTACTGCAAAAGTTACAGCACATACAGCTGAAGCTTGCGGTTATCTTTCTGCTGTTTAACCCCTGCGGGTCCCGGCTGTTGTCGCTGCTGGCTTGATCCGCCTTGCAGATGCAAGCAGTCAAGGGTGGCTTTGTGAAGCACTCAGCCTTGGCTAGGACACCAGCCTTCACCGTCCCCCATAGTCTATACTCCAGAAATATCAAGGGCTACCCTACAAGACCTATGAAATGTAAATGCTTTGCATCATTTAATGACAGCCATCATCTTTACATTGCCATAGCTTAGATGATTTGATGCCATTCCTGATGGCATAAGAATTCTTACGGTTATTTTGATGGAGAAAAATCCACCTAAAGGAAATTATTTGTGTGAAGGAAATTTTTCTCCCCATATTTTTCAGTACTGTCTTTTTAAAATTATTATTTTGTTATGCCTACTTCAAGTGGAAAGACTTTACCTGGCGTTACGTCTTTAGTTCTTTTTACGCCCTTACTCTACTTTGAAGTTTAAGAAAATATTAATACTGAAAAACTCTTGGGTTCCATTGTATTTCTTAGGTTTTATACATATTTTTGAACTTTTATGATCTCTTAAAAATAGTGACTCCTTCTGTTATTGGTTCTACCTGGAGATGGGTGAGGTTTTTATACCCAAGTCAATACAGTTGCAGACATACCTGCAGTCTGCTTTAACTAGAGGAAATTCTCTGGCAGCCTAGTGATGCTGTGTGGGTCTCGTTCATCTTCCAGCCTTTCAAAACCCTCTTAAATGCCTTTGAATCTCGGGAAACATTTTAATGGCCCTGTTTGCTCTTCAGTTAATAGGCAGAGACCACTGAGCCCAGAACCGCAGTTCAGCTTAACCAAGCCCTATTCAAACCAATTTGGGTTTATTTATTTTAAAAACAGATTTAAATATTTCTACAGTTTCAGTAGCTGTTGGCATTGGCTCCATTATTGAGCTCCAATGGTCTGATGAGGAAGTACTGAAAAACACCTCCTTTTTGTTTATTTATTGGGGAGGTCAGTTTTTCCATTTTAAAAATTCAGAAGATATTTATTGAGAAAATACCTTATGCAGGACACTGTGCTAAGCATTCAAAGTGATACGAAAATGCATAAAACATTACCCTTGTCTACCAGGCAAAATCTTTGGCTTTGGTTCTCCCTGCAAGTTCAGGCTAGGTCAGTTAGTTTGCCAGTGCAAAGTCATCACTCCTCATAAACCAATAAAGTGAACAGCATTGTGTAGCTACTTTACCAGTTCGTCAGCAAAGAGAAACACTCTTCTCTGACTACAAAGCCTAATCAAACTTTCCGGCCAACAAGCATTATGGAGCAATCCATTTGATATCGTTTAGAACAAAAGTGAGAACATAACATGATTGACCTGGTTGGAAACATTTTAATATCCAGATGTATAGCATGTGTTTTTGAGCCTTCCTATTTTGAATTATGATTAGCTTGGCCTCACGAGGTCGGCTACTCTGTGGCGATGTCCTGTTGGAACACGTGTCCAGGACATTTATCAGTGGCTCACGTACCTTCAGAAATTCAGGGCCCCTCAGCAGCAGTCCCCTGTATTTCTGCACTGATGGTGGGATTCAACTGAGGTCAGAGAAGCGGATGTGACCTGAATTGTTTATCGATTAGGAGCATATTGTGAAGGTTAGTAACTATTTCTGAGAGGACAAATTTCAGAATAGTCAACACAAATAAGAGAGGCTCAGGTTATTAAAAAGAATCTTCAGGGAGAGTTGGCTCTTTTAAAAGAGTAGATAGAACTGCACTATTTATAAATAGTTCTTCACTGACTGATGGACATAAAACCAGTTACCATCACCACCGAGAGCACTGGAGACTGGGCATCTGCCCGGGTCAATGTGCTGTGGTGACTGGGATGCAGCCTTGAGCAGAGTCTGTAGCAGACAGATCTGGCCTAGCTCAGCAAAAGAGAAGGAAGCAGAAGTACTTTTCTTTCAGGTCCAATTCATTTAACCTGTCCCGGGATGGCTCCCGTCATCCCATCGGCTGTGTCCACCCTCTACTAAAGTTCATCCATCGCCACGCTACACAGCAAGGTCTGTAAGAGGAGAGAGAATGTTTTTCTTTACATGAATAAATAACAAAAGGAAAACCACAATGAGATATCACCTCACACCTGTCAGAATGGCTGTCATCAATACAAGTGCTGGCGAGGATGTGGAGAAAAGGGAACCCTTCCTCACCTTTGGTGGGGATGCAGACCGGTGCAGCCCCTGTGGAACGCGGTGGGGAGTAACTGCAAAATGTTAAAGATGGATCTGCCTTTGGACCCAGCGATCCCACTTCTGAGAATACATCCCAGGAAAGCTGGAACACTAATTTGAAAGAATATAAGCACCCCTGTGTTCATTAAGTGTTATTTACAATAGCCAAGGTTTGGAGATAGCCCACATGCCCATTAGT